TGGAAAAAAAGGAAGCAGTAAAAGAATTGTCCAAAGACCAAATAAGGAACACATTGTCTATAAACTCTAATGCACACAAGCTGGTCTATTCCACTATCATTTTTTTATTTTTTTATTTTTATTTTTATTTATTTATTTATTTATTTATTTATTTGGTTTTTTGAGACAGGGTTTCTCTGTATAGCTTTGCGCCTTTCCTGAAACTCGCTTTCTGGAGACCAGGCTGGCCTCGAACTCACAGAGATCCACCTGCCTCTGCCTCCCGAGTGCTGGGATTAAAGGCGTGCGCCACCACCGCCTGGCCCCACTATCATTTATTTATTTATTTATTTATTTATTTATTTATTTTTTTTTTTTTTTTTTGGTTTTTCGAGACAGGGTTTCTCTGTGTAGCTTTGCGCCTTTCCTAGAACTCACTTGGTAGCCCAGGCTGGCCTCGAACTCACAGAGATCCGCCTGGCTCTGCCTCCCGAGTGCTGGGATTAAAGGCATGCGCCACCACCGCCCGGCCCCACTATCATTTTTTTATTTTTTATGTGTATGGGTGCTTTGCCTGCATGTATGTCTGTGTACCACATGCACTTCTGGTGCTCATGGATGTCAAAAGAGGGCATCAGATCTCATGGAACTGGAGTTACAGTTAGAACCCGCAGTGTAGGTGCTGGGACCCTAACTGGCACCCGCTGGAAGGGCAACAAGTTTTTGTTGTTGTTGTTGTTTGGTTTTAGTTTTAGTTTTTGGTTTTTTGAAACAGGGTTTTTCTGTGTTGTAGCCTTGGCTGTCCTGAAACGTGCTCTATAGACCAGGCTGGCCTCCAACTCACAGAGATCTGCCTGCCTCTGCCCCCTGAGGATCAAAAGATTAAATGATATGATTAAATCGTAGGATTAAAGGCATGCACCACCACTGCTGGGCTGCAGCAAGTGTTCTTAATCACGGATCCATCTCTCCAGCTCCTGATTTTGTTTTTTGGAGACAGGATCTCAAGTAGCCCAGGCTGGCCTTGATCTCACTATTTAACTGGGCTGTTCTTAAATTCCTGATCCTCCTTCCTGTTCCTCTCAAGAACTCAGACTGCAAGTGTGTTCCACCATGCTCAGAATGTCACACTCGTTCTTAAAATGTCAGTAGAAGGCTGGGGGGTGCAGCTCATTACCTGCCTAATGCATGCAAAGATCCATTCCTAGCACTTGAGTGGCCAACCCACTGACTTACATACTGATCTACAAGCTGCCCAGCATGTTTCCATTGCTTTTGGAGCACATGAGGTATGAGTGTGATGTCGGTTTTGTAAACGATGACAGGCTAAATCATGGTTGAACTGGAAGGTCATTCCCTGGCCTCAAATAGTCCTGCCTATCAGATTCTGCCTCATTCCGGGATTTGGTGGGGGGAGGGAGCATTCTGAAAGTGCCAACAGAGAGGTCTGTGACAGGTAGTTAGGCTTGCCCCTGGCTTGATGGTAAGTCACCATCTCGGCAGAGTTCAACGTTATAGGGAAAGCAGGTTTGAGATGTGGCTCGGTGACATAGCATTTATCTGGCCTGTGTGAGACTCCGGGTTCCAACTCCAGCACTAGCAGACAATAAAGCCCCAAACCAAACACACAAAAATAGTCACCGATTTGGAAATAAAAAGGGATAGTCTGTCTTGGAGCCCACCTTACATGTGCATGTGGGAGAGCGGAAGGACAGAAGGAAAGGGACACACTGAGAGTCTGAAAGTAAGGTTTTCTTGCAGTGGGAACTCGGGTCTGTGGAACCCTAGTTCTTGCCCAGCAATTGCCCCCTCCATACTCAATGCTGTCTCCAAGTTGGGAGCCCCACTGCGTAAGTGTTGAGCTGGGGGGTCAGGGTACAGTGATCAGCTTAGGCCAGAGACCCGCTGAGAGAGTCACTTCACTTTATCTGCACAAGGAGGTAGAGACTGTGACCACAGGTCACCTTCAGACAGTAATTCCCCAAGAGCCACAGCCATGATGGGCTGGGATGGCGGCAAGAGGGATGGAGGCCACCTTCTGGTTCCAAAGCCCTGGATCTTCCCTGAAGCCCCTGCTTCTGAAGCCCAGGTTACTGCAAAGTCTACATGGTGTGCTGGCTATAAAGCAAACAGACCTCAGTGACAGATAAGTCTGTCTCTACCCTGTGGTGGTTTCACGGTGCAGCTAGGTGCAGAGGCGACTGGTCTGCCACACTGTCTTTTGCAAATGCCACTTAGTTTGCAGAGCTCTAGCTAACTCCATACCATTTTTTGGTTTTGTTTTGCTTTTGTTTTGTTTTGTTTTTCGAGACAGGGTTTCTCTGTGTAGCTTTGGAGCCTGTCCTGAAACTCACTCTCTAGCCCAGGCTGGCCTTGAACTCCCAGGGATTCATCTGCCTCTGCCTCCTGAGTACTGGGATTAAAGGCGTGCGCCACCACCGCCCGGTAGTTTTTGCTTTTTGAGATGGGGTTTCGTATATCCCAGTTTGGCCTTGAACTTGCTATATAGTTGAAAATTATCTTAAACTTCTGGCCTCCATCCCTAGAGTATTGGGGTTACAGGTATGGGAATATGATGAAAATTGAACCCCAACCAATCGGGTCACCTCCCAGTCCCTGACACTCCTTTTCAACCTCTCTACGCTCCTGTGGCTCTATCACATGTCTTTCTGTCTCTTCAAGGTGCTGAACATACTTTCAGTCCCTCACACTCAGAAACTTTAAAAACCTTTTTTTTTAAACAAAATTTTGTGTGTGTTTTGCCTGCATGTATGTCTGTGCATCTTATGCGTGCAGTGTCCATGGAGGCCTGAAGAGGGCATCGGATATTCTAGAACTGCAATTACAGACAGTTGGTAGCAGACAAGCACTTGCTCAAGCTCGAGTCCTTTGGAAGAGCAGCCAGTACTATTAACCACTGGTGCATCCTCAAAAACCCTCAGGGACTTTTTAATGAGCTCTGAATAAAGTTAACGATGCAGGCACATTATTTAAGAGTCTAAGCTTTGGGGCTGGAGAGATGGCTCAGTGGTTAAGAGCACCGGCTGCTCTTCCAGAGGTCCTGCGTTCAATTCCCAGCAACCACATGGTTGCTCACAACCATCTGTAATGAGATCTGGTGCCCTCTTCTGGCCTGCAGGGACACATGCAGGCAGTATACTGTATACATAATAAATAAATCTTAAAAAAAAAAAAAAAAAAAAAAGAGTCTAAGCTTTGGTTTCTCCACCTATAGGGTGGGTGAAGGGCGAGTGGTAGGCTTCCCAAACCTGCTATACGTTGCTAGAACCTGAGAGAATTTCTCAGTCACAAAGCTCCGCCTCCTCCTCCTCCAGGGCCCACCCCATTGAGACTGCGCCTGCGCAGAAGCCTCTGCCATCCCATTTCAGGCCACACTGTCTCGGTCCGCTCTGAGCGCTCGAGGACTCGGCGCTCGACCGCCGTGTGTCAGTCTGCCTTCCGGTTTCCCCCCAGGCGCGCCTGCCGAGCGCCGAGCCGCCGATAGCGATGGCTACCGCGAGTCTCTGAGGAATCCTGGAGGCCCAGAGTCGCGGCCGGAGGTCGAGCGTAGACTGCCGGCCCCGTTTCGGAAGCCTCAGGGCGCGAGGGACGGTGCCGGCCAGCTCGGAGCCGCCACCGAGAACGCGGCGGTGGCGGAGGTGGGTGTGACGTGTGGTTTGAGGCGACGAGGCGGTGGGGGAAATGAGAGGTTCTGCGGGCCTCTGCGCGTCCCTGCCCCGACCGTGTTGCGTGGCGCCCGCAGAGTCGCGGTCGGTCCTGCGGGTGCACGTGACCGTGCGGACCTCTGCGGTGCCCCGGGCTGGGTTCTTCACGCCGGTCGGGATGCGAGGGTTTGTTTGCACGCCTGGGCTTGTGGTTGCGGCATCGGTTTCGGTGGATTGTGGTGGCGCATAATTAAGTGACTTGACGTTAGAGTCTCTCACTTCGTTCACTCCTGGAGCCCTATTAATGCTGTTCTCGTGTGTGTGCGTGTGTGTGTGTGTCTGTGTGTGTGTGTGTCTGTGTGTGTGTGTGTGTGTGTGTGTGTGTGTGTGTCTGTGTGTCTGTGTCAGACACCGCGCCAGACCGCTGAGCTCTGATGGTGATGGCGAAAATCACAGGCTCCCCTCGCTGCCTGTGGTCTTGTATTATTTAGTCATTTCACAGGTATGCTGCCCACGGAACCCGAGGCAGCTGTTGTGAGGGCATCTTGGCCAGCGCCTGCCTTGAGTAAGGGGCGTTTCTCCAGGGTGAGATTTGAGCTGCTGTGTGTGGCCAGGGTGGACGGGAGCGGCTTCTGTTTGACTTCTTGTTAGGGATGAGTGCAGGGCAGGAGGAGGAGGAAGCTGTCACCCTCAGAGGATCCCGTCAGCCACTGCTTGGGGCAAGAACAGGTCGGACCTGACGCTGACTGTTTCACTGATGCCTCATGCCTTTCTGGGCAGACTCTGTATGTGTGTAGTCATCAGATTTATTTATTCACTTATTTTCGAGACAGGGTCTCACTAGGTAGCCATGTCTGGCTTGGAACTTGCCATGTAACCCAGGCTGGCATCACACTTACAGGCATCTCTCTGCTTCTTCTACCTCCCCGAGTGCTGGAATTAAAGGCGTGTGCTATCATGCTAGTCAGATTTCTTAATTTCTTAATCTAATTCTTAAGGGAAACAACAGGCCCCTGGTGACCCATTTACTTATTTTCTAGGTTGCTGCCACCCTTCAGCTTTGAGGACTAGAGGGTGCCCTCCTCAGTGCCCTTTGCAGTCCGTCCAAAGCACCCCGCAAGTCTAGCTACACAAACTCTCCCACTCTGTGCTGTGATTTGTGGCCTCAAGGTCTTGGAGACAGATTTCTTGGGTTTTGTCTTGATCTAAGAATTTGAGAAACAGTTTGTTTTCACAAACTTGTACCAAACATTAACCTTGCTGTTACAAACGGTGTACCTTTGTTGAACTGTGGGAAGAACAAAGAAACCTTTTGTTTGCTACTAATTTGCCTCAAATGACTTGTGTTTTTCTTAGATTCCTCCTGCTGAAGAGAGGAAATCTCATCCAAGGCCACAATGTCACTTCCAGATTATCCGTTCACTGCCTGCTTAAGCTAACACTGCCAGAACCCTGCTCCCTTGGGAGGAATCAAGCTGACTTGGCATGAGGGTCCTGCCTTCCTGGGGTTGAGAGAAGCACAACTATGGCTTCTCTTGATGACCCGGGGGAAGTGAGGGAAGGCTTCCTGTGCCCTCTGTGCCTGAAGGACCTTCAGTCTTTCTATCAACTTCAGTCACATTATGAAGAAGAACACTCAGAAGATCGTGATGTCAAAGGACAAATTAAAAGTAAGAGGCGAGGGTTTTGCTCATTTCATTTTGTTCAAGAGACCTTACTTAATAGAGTAGATTTATAGGCTTTCATGTTCCCACTGGGTTATGATGCTGATAATAACAGTAGCAAGCAGATATCCAGTACTCTTTATTCTCTGCATTGATGTTTCTCTTTGTGTATTTATTTACTTTTTTTTTTAAGACAGAGTCTCTTTATGTAGTCCTGGCTGCCCTGGAACTCAATATGTAGACCAGCCTGGCCTCACAGAGATCTCTCTGCTTCTGCCTCCTGAGTGCTGGGGTTAAAGGTTTGTGCCACCAGGCCCGGCCCTTATTTATCTTATTTAATATACATGACAGCTATGCTACTGTGAGTTTCATTTTGTTGGCTAGGTTACCAGATTAAGAGAGATTAGATAACCTACCCAAAGTCACCCAAATGGAGTAAGCCTGGCTTTAAGCTAATAAACATAGCCACTGTAATCTGTTGTCTCTTACTGGATTACTTAGATTATCTCACCCTCAGCCTGGGATGGTTTGGACAGGAATGCTTATCCTTTGCTATAAAAGTGGAGGCCCAGCTGGGCAACTGTGGTCCAGTCCTTTAATCCCAGTGCTTGGGAGGCAGAGGCAGGCAGATCTCCATAAATTTGAGGCCAGCTTGGTCTACAAAGTGAGTTCTAGCACAGCCAAGGCCACACAGAGAAACCCTGTCTCCAAACAAAACAAAACAATAACAGCAAAAAGTAGAGGCCCAATACACACCACTTGCCTGTTACTAATTTAAGCCTTTCTACCATCCCTCCTTCCTTGGCTAGACCCTGCCTTCTGCAGCTCAGGAAAAGGAATTTAACAGTTGAAATAGAGACAGTATTTCTCTGTGTAGCCATGGCTGTCCTGGAACTCACTCTGTAGACGAGGCTGGCCTTGAACTCAGAGATCCCCCTGCCTTTGCCTCCTGAGTGCTGGGATTAAAGGCATGTACCACTACTGTCCAGCATTTTTTTTTTATAGCTTCCAGTTGTACAGAGAAATCTTCAAAGACAATTTTGACTGCACGTATTATTCTAACCTCCAAATAAGTCTCTGCTCCTCTGGAGCTCACTTGAAAAGTTTCATCTCCCATGTGGCAGCATTTCTGGAGATCACAAGAGTCAGAATGTGGACACTTGATTTATAATCTGTGCTGGGTGGAAAGAAGGGCTGAACCACTAGATGGTGTTTCTAGTGGACTCTGTTCTCTAAACATGTGACTCACATACTCCTTATAATCAAATATTTGTCCCTGGACTTCCATACTCCATTTTTCAGTTCATTTTAAAAAAGAAAATGAGTCAGGTGGTGGCGGCAAATGCCTTTAGTCCCAGTAATCCAGAAGTAGAGACCGGTGGATCTCTGTGAGTTCAAGGCCAGCCTGGTCTACATAGCAAGTTTCAGGACAGCCAAGGCTACACAGAGAAACACTATCTCAAAAAACAAAAACAAACAAACAAACAAAAAGTGCTGGGAATATCCAACATAACATTTGTTACAACTTCCATACAAGAACATGATGAAGTCAGACATTTTCAGAATCCTCAGGGCTGTGATTGTCCAGGAAACTGCTGACTCTAGATGCTGAAGCAGAACTAGAATCTGCTAAAGGGAGTCCAGGAAAGGGTGGTGCTCTGTAATGTTGGCAGTTTCTGTCATATGCATTGTCATGTCACTACTCTCCCAGCAACCTTACTGGAAGATGTGTGGTGTAATTTATAGGTTAGTGTGGCTCAGAGTTGACCAGTAATGTTTCCAAAGCCACACAGCAATTGGCAGAAATAGGCCTGGATCCCAGATCTTTTGCCACAAGTCTAATGTAGCTTTTTCTGCAAGGCATCTCTGATGGTGAAAGACACTTCTATTCTGATCACAGCATACTTTGCAACTTCCAGGAAAAACAAGGGGGGCGGGGAGAAATCCCCAAACCAGATTATCTAAGCTTCCTGTGGACAACCAAAAGGTTTCAAAGAGCTTCCTATCTTGGTATTGCTGACCTCAGTCATACACCATGCTACTCAGAGGACTAGATGACTAGATAGGCCAGACTGTAGAAAAGTTAGAGGTGTCCTTAGACTTCCATGTAACCTTTTACTTTTTAAATTTTTATTATTTTTATTTTATGGATACGGATGTTTTGCCTGTGTGAATGTCTATGCACTGCTTGTATGCCTGATACTCACGGAAGCTAGAAAAGAACACTGAATCCCCTGGAACTGGAGTTCTGGGCAGTTGCAAGCCCCCATGTGGATGCTGGGCATTGAACCCAGGTCCTCTGAAGGGCAGCAAATGTTCTTAACTTCTGAGTCATCTCTACATCTCCTTATGGGAACTTCTCTTTCTTTCTTTCTTTTTATTAAGATTTATTTATTTATTATGTATACAGCATGTATGACTGCAAGCCAGAAGAGGGCACCAGATCTTTACATTACAGATAGTTGTGAGCCACCATGTGGTTGTGGGAATTGAACTCAGGACCTCTAGAAGAGCAGCCATTGCTCTTATCCTCTGAGCCATCTCTCCAGCTCCACAGGAACTTTTCTAATAGAGGGAAATGTTCATTTAAAGAATGTTAGAGATGTGAATCTAGGAAATATACATAGCATGAAAATGTGTCATGGAAAGAAACTTTTATAAAGGTCCTCCAGGGCCGGGCGGTGGTGGTGCACGCCTTTAATCCCAGCACTCAGATGGCGGATCTCTGTGAGTTTGAGGCCAGCCTGGGCTACCAAGTGAGTTCCAGGAAAGGCACAAAGCTACACAGAGAAACCCTGTCTCAAAAAACCAGAGAGAGAGAGAGAGAGAGAGAGAGAGAGAGAGAGAGAGAGAGAGAGAAAAAGGTCCTCCAGGATGAGCCTTCTGCAGAGTAGGGTATGGCTCATACAGCACTTGCCAGGCCCTGGCTTCCACACAGAAGGAAAAATACCCTCTTTTTTTTATTCCTTCTATTTCTACCTCAAAAGAACCAACATTCTTTTAACACTAGTAGTCATTTTGTTAAGATGAAATTCCTTTTTTTTTAATGTTTCTGATATAAACTTTTTATTACATTTATTTATTTAGTGTATGATATGTGGACACATATATACTATGGCAGTGTATGGAAATCAGAGGACAATTTATGATAATTGATTCTTTTCTCATCCTATGTGGGTCCTGGAGATTGAACTCAGGCATTCAGGCTGTAAGCATTACCTGCTGAGCCATCTGGAAGGCCCCATTTTTGTTGTTGTTGTTGTTGTTGTTGTTGTTCTGTTTTTAAACAGAGTTTCTTATAGTACCCAGGCTGGCCTCTAACATAATGGTGGATGTCCTTATACTGATCCACCTGCCTCCACTTAGAGATTCTTGGATTACAGGTATGTCTCACCATGCCCTGGTTGGGTAGATTCTTAGGTTGTAGGTCTTCATGCTTTAGTAGTCCTAGTGCTGGAGAGGCAGAGGTAGCAATGGAGCTTTCTGTAGGTTAGAAGCTGGCCTTTCAAAAAATCAAAAGAGGAAGTGAGAGAGAAAGTAGGAAAGATTGACATAGATTTTTTAAAAAGATTTATTTATTTATTATGTATACAGCATGTATGACTGCAGGCCAGAAGAGGGCACCAGATCTCATTACAGATGGTTGTGAGCCATCTTGTGGTTGTGGGAATTGAACTCAGGACCTCTGGAAGAAGTCAGTGCTCTTAACCTCTGAGCCATCTCTCCAGCCCAGATTTTTTTTTTTTTTTTTTGAAAAGCCCCTTTAAAAGCATTTCATCTCTCCACTTGGTTTATTGATCCTTCAAAATTTTATGATGTTTATTTAATTTATTTTAAAATAAAGTCTCTCTGTGTAACTCTGGCTAGCTTGGAACTCACTATGTAGACCAGGATGGCCTTGAACCTACAGATACCTGCCTGCCTCTGCCTTCTTAGTTCTGGGACCAAAGGTGTATACTGTCATGCCCATAGTATTATATTTGTAAACAATAAGAAATGGAACACTAAAATATTGCACACAGGTATCAGATTTCAAAGGCAGTTTTAAAAATTGCATTTATTCATTTATTTTTGTTTTGGTCCAGGGCATGTGTGATGGCATGTATGTGGAGGTCAGAGGACAACTTAAGGGAATAAGTTCTCTCCCACCATGTGGGTCCTGGGGATCAAATACAGCTCCTCAGGTTTGATAGCTAGTGCTTTTTACTTGCTGAGCTATCTCACTGGCCTCTTGGGGGCAGTTTTAAACAGACAAGATCAACTCACCATTTTTGAAAAGTGGTATGTAGGTTTGAACCCTGGCCCTAGTCCAGCTGAGGTTAGCCCTTTTACAGTAGGCAGAGGAAAAGGTGGTTGAAAATTGATTGTAGCTTCTGGTTTGTTTTCAGAGATGTATGGATTAGTTAACTGGGCCCCTGAGAAGGCTGCCACGCAAGTTTCTTTGTCATCCAAAGTAGTTCAGTCTTGTTTGCAAAATGAAGAGGTGTGCTAGATATAGTAGCACACATTTTTTTTTTTCCTCCTGAGACAGGGTTTCTCTGTGTACTTTTGGTGCCTGCCCTGGATCTTGCTCTGTAGACCAGGTTGACCTCGAACTCACAGAGATCTGCCTGGCTCTGCCTCCTGGAGTGCTGGGATTAAAGGTGTGTGTGCCACCGCCACCCGGTTTGTAGCATACATCTTTAATCCCAGCACTTGAGTGACAGAGCTAGGTGGATCTCTCTCTGCTAGTTCAAGGCAAAAGTGTTCTTTGTAGCAAGTTCCAAGATAGTCAGGGCTACGTAGAGAGAGGCTGTCTCAGACAAACAAAAATCCACCATCCTGGTTCCCTCATTGAGTTTGATTTGGCTCCTTTTGTTTAGATGGACTATTAAACTTGGGAGTAAGTGCTAACTTAGCCTGTATGTTGGAAACATGAACAGCATTCTGCTGGTGGTGACTTCTGTGGGGGTAATAAGGTAATTAGGTGTTTCCCTCAGTGCTGCATTTCTTTGGGGATCCAAATGTTCTTGTGCATTTTAAAATAAGGATGATTATTCTTATATAATCTTGGGCTCATTTGTGGTGTTTTTCATTCCTTCAAGGTCTTGTTCAGAAGGCTAGGAAAGCAAAGAACAAGTTGTTGAAACGCGAAGGGGATGATCGAGTGGAACCAGGGACCCAGGGATATGAATCATTCAGCTATGGAGGGGTTGATCCTTACATGTGGGAACCCCAGGAGCTTGGTAAGAAACTTCATTCATTCATTCAGCACTTATAGGATAGCCACCCTGTTTTAGGTAATTTTGTTTTTCAGTTTTAAAATTTTATTTCACAATCACACACATACACAATTTGATTATATTTTCCCTGTATTAGTCAGGTTCTCAAAAGAAACAGAACTGATAGAATATGGTCCTGGCAGTTCAATGGCTGTCTCAAGACTGAAAGGCTGGGAATCTGGTAGTTGTTAGTCTCTGTGGTCACAATCTGGTGCTGTATCCTAGAGGATCCCTGGAAAGCTCCTGGTCTTCAGTCTGTGTTAGAATCCTGAAGAATTTGGATTTAGTACTGGCTGCAGCAACAGGATAGATGAACTTGCCAACGAGGAGGGCAAGCAGACTAAAAGCAAAGTTTCCTTCTTCCAGTCTTTCACATGGGCTGCCACCAGATTTAATACAGATCTTGTTTCAAATAATCTAATAAAGAAAATCCCTCACAGGAGTCCCCAGCAGCTTGGATTTTAGTTGATTGAGATACAGACATGTTGACGAGCAGGGATTAGTTATCACATCCCCTTTCTACCATCCTCTCTGCTCCCCTCCCCTCCCCAATTAACCCCTTCTTCCCAACAAGTCATCTTCCTACTTGCATTGTTTGAGCTGATTGAGAAAGCTTCGGTAATCCCTAAGGGTTAAGCATTGTATTGGCCTTATGTCTTCACAAGGAGAGAAATGGAAGGGAATGAGCTGAGATCTCTTTTAAGTTAGGCAGTGTGTTAAATGTGTTGTATGTGTGGTCTCCTTCAAGTGTCACTGTCCCTGCTGAGGATCAAACAGCTATGAAACTGCAGCAGGAGAATGTCATTCTGGTCTGTCTCCTAGTCACAGACCCCATTGACAGATCGGTCTCCTTACAGGTTACCTGACAAGTGATAGGCACTGAGCATCTTACTTTTCTGATGTTCATAATTATGACTTCATCTGCTTAGTTACTGTAAACTGGAAGTGCTGGGGATAGAACCGAGGGCCCTGGCAAGTGTTATGCTACAGAGCTACACCCCCAGCTTTACTCTACTTCTTCTTTTTTTTTTTTATTTTTTTATTTTTTGAGATAGGTTCTTGCTATGTAGCTTTGGCTGTCCTGGAACCCACTATGTAGACCAGACTGGCTTCAAACTCAGAGATCTGCCTGCCTCTGCCTCCTGAGTGCTGGGATTAAAGATGTTTTCCACTTCACCCAGCTTCTACTTTCAAATTGATAAAAATAGTCTAAAATTTCTTTTTATGACTATTCAATCTTGTGAATATACCAAACAGCCCCCCACAACAAAATCCAAACCATTGAATTAATATGCTTAGAATGACTTCTAATTTTTGTGTTTTTAAATTGAGACTGGTACTCTCTATTTAGCCTTGACTATCATGGAACTCCCTTTGTAGAACAGGGTAGTCTTGAACTCAGAGAGATCTGCCTGCTTCTGCCTCTGCCTCTAATGCTGGGATTAACGACATGCAGGATTACTGTGCTTTAAATATTGAATTATATGTACAGAAATTACATATCAGTAAAGCTGTTAACAAAAATATGCCACATTTGCTGAGCTAAAGTGTCTCATCTTACATATTCTGTAGCTGTGGATTGGATTGATAACAATCACTAATTTGTTTGCTGGAATTTAACAATTTATTTATCCTTTCAATCAATGCTTATTGCGCATCTATGTGCCTCATCCATGCTGAGTCTGTGCTCTTGACACTGGGCTACAAACTCAGCCCAATAAATACTTTCTGTCCATAAAGTGGATAAGTAATGCTTCTTTCATAGTGGTTTACTTTACTTCCATATTCAAAACCCTTGTGAGATTGCCTGTTCCAACCCCTACAATACCCACACATACACAGCATGCACACGCAGACATACACATGCACATTTAAATAAAAGTAGTAAAAATAAATCTTTAAAAAAATACAGAGAAAACTAAGGCCCTAAGAAAGGAAGGGGTGTTTACCAGGGTCACTAATTGCCACTGGGGAAGGTGGCATTAAATCCTAGAACTGTGCTGTCCAGTTCAGTAGCCACTAGCCATATGTGGCTATTGAAATTTCAATAATGAATCAAATAAAATGTAACTGTCATTTCCTGTATTACACACACTTTAGCTGTGCAGTATCCCTCTGTGGTCAGTGGTCTCCCTGTGTGTATGCACAAACATTTTTATCACTGCAGGAGAAAATGGCTTTACAAATAATGCTATTGTTACATGACTTTCTGGGGACCTGTAAAGGAAACACCTGTTCACTTCAAATAAGGAGGATGCAGACAGAACAAAGAAAGTACCCACCAGTCCAGAGTTTATTAGGGTTATTTACAGGAACATGGTGACTCATAGGCAGCTGCACCACTGAAAAACCCCAACTCCCTGCCCACCAAGCTACTGTTTTATTTTTAATTTTTAAAATGTATTTATTTTTTAAATTTTGTGTGTCTGTGTGTGAGTATGTGCATATATGTATACAGTTGTCTGTGGGGTCCAGAAGAGGGTATCGTATTACCTGGAGCTGAAGTTCCAGGTGGTTGTGAGCTATCTGATATGGGTGCTGAGAGCTGAACTTGGATCCTGCAAGAGCTGTGTGTTCTTAACTGTGAACCCTCTTTCCAGCCCTAAGTTCCTGATTTCTATGTCTCTAAGTGTACAGCAGAGTGAATGCAAAGCTGGATCCAGAGCACTGTCTAGTGTTGAAGCAGTAGTGGGGGCTATAGGCTCAGACCACATAAGGTACAGATAAAACTGGACAGACGAGGTACCATGTTTATGTGTATGGCGTCCCTGCTCTGATTAGGGATTCTGCTGATCTCAGCAAGCAGTGTCTAGCCATAGGAAGGATGACCTGTTTTGTTACAGTCAGACACACAGCGGCTTACTGCAAAATGGAGTTACTCTAGTCAGGATTCAGAGGTCTACTTCCATATTTGAGAAATATATCAGCAATTGTGAATTATATTAAAGCTAATAGAAGCATAAATGAGAAATTTCAGACAAGTGAATTATAATACTTTGTGATAGCTTGTTTCCTAATTGCCACAGTCCTAATTGCTAGAGTGGTCACTGAGAAGAGCACTGAGTACTGGCAGGGTCAGAGGGCAGCATTGGGAACAGATACACTGAAGTCAGATACTACCTGCTAACATTTGTATTGAGACCATTTATGTTGGGTCTTAGATGCTAGACTGAGGAAGGCATCTGTTTAACTGTACTAAAGGCATATATAACCACTTACTCCCCCTCACCCCCCCCCCATTTTGAGCAGGGACTATTTTTATTATTTGGTTTCTTAAGATAGTTTCTCTATGTAGCCCTGGCTGTTCTAGAACTCATTCTGTAGACCAGGCTGGCCTTTAACTCAGATCCACTAGCTTCTGCCTCCCAAGTGCTGAGATTAAAGGTGAGAGCCATCACAGCCTGGCTTTTGAGAAGGGACTGTTTTTGTTTTGATAAGAAGCTACATTGTGGGGGCTGGAGAGATGGCTCAGAGGTTAAGAGAACTGACTGCTCCTCCAGAGGTCCTGAGTTCAATTCCCACAACCACATGGTGGCTTACAACCATCTGTAACGAGATCTGGTGCCCTCTTCTGGCCTGCAGTCATACATGCTGTATACATAATAAATAAATAAATCTTTTAAAAAAAAGAAAAGAAAAAGAAGCTACATTGTACTAAGTCACAAAGTAGCTAAGTAACTTGTCTAAGGTTACTTAGTATCTAGCAGAATTGAAATTTGAGCTCAGACTAGCTCTAATATGACCTCATCTGCTATGCTTTGTGACCTTTAAAAGTTTGGTAAGGCACTAAATCTTTAATTAATTAATTAATTAATTAATTAATTATATATACAGCATGTATGTCTGCAGACCAGAAGAGGGCACCAGATCTCATTACAGATGGTTGTGAGCCATCATGTGGTTGCTGGGAATTGAACTCAGGACCTCTGGAAGAAGTCAGTGCTCTTAACCTCTGAGGCATCTCTCCAGCTCCAAATCTTTTTTACTTGCTTTCCAGTTCATTGAGGATCTAGAGAGGCATTATGAGAATCTTTAACAATTCATTTATCTTCTCTTCCCTCTTAGGTGCTGTGAGAAGCCATCTTTCTGACTTTAAAAAACATCGTGCTGCAAGAATTGACCACTATGTTGTTGAAGTCAACAAATTAATAATCAGGTTGGAGAAGGTAAATTTTGTAGTTTCATTTTGCAAGTACAAATTTTGTAGGAATCTCAGTTACTATAGCGTATGTTATGTGAGTGATGTATATCTGAATCTGAGAGAGCTACAGAGGACAGGCTTGGCCAGGACTGGCCTTCCTAAAGTGAATGGCTCACACTGATAGACTACTGTGTGCCCACTCCCCCTTTCTGCCTTTCACCTCCACTGACTGCTTTAAAACTTCGTCCTGGGGTTGTTCCAGGCAGTCACTCAGCATGTAATGTCATTTGATAGCCAACAAGCAGTGTCCAGCTCTGTGAGTACTCAGTCAGGGCTAGGGCTAGTATGTGTTGGGGGGCATCTTGGGTAACCTTCCTCGTCCTGTGGTGCTAGATTATGCCTGTGGCACTGCTATGATTGTGTTGTGCGCTGACCCTAGATACACTTGCTACACACACACACACACACACACACACACACACACACACACACACACACACATATATATGGATTGGGGGGTTGGGAGCATGTGGCAGCATCTATAGGTATAGCAGCCCCTTTTTTCGTTTTTTGTGGTGCTCCAGCAAGCACTCTTCTACCAACTAAGTCCCAGACCAGGAAAGTCCTTAAAGGTATGGAGGTTTCTTCTGGATCTGAAACTAACAAGTACCTTGTGAAATTGTTTGGATAACTGGGCTTGGGGCCCACCAGTGAGGCTTGAAAAATGCAAATGTGCATTGCCTGCTGAGTGTGAGTGGCAGGAGTGTGGGGCATGTCCCTTAACTGGTTAACTCTATTTGGCTTTGTGTTTTTCTGTTTAGCTCACTGCATTTGACAGAACAAATACTGAGACTTCAAAGATTAGAGGTAAGTCCAGACCTTTGCTCACAGTCATCCCATTTGGGCTTTCTCCCTGAGAACAACTTCAGAATGCTGAGCTGTTTTTTTCTTTTTTCCTTCCAAAGCAATAGAAAAGTCCGTGGTGCCTTGGGTCAATGACCAGGATGTCCCTTTCTGTCCAGACTGTGGAAATAAGTTTAGCATCCGGAACCGCCGTCACCACTGCCGCCTCTGTGGGTCTATCATGTGCAAGAAATGTATGGAGCTCATTGGCCTGCCCTTGGCAAGTAGGTGATATGACTGTGGGCCCTGGACCCTGATCTCTTTTGGGACTAGTGAGTGTGCCTAGGCCCTTGGGACCACTTGTTTAATTAATGGCCCACAGAATCTTCCTTCATCTATTTGTTGAGTTTATGAAGCCCACTACAGCCTAGATACTGTGTTAAGGCCCAAGGATATATTACAGCTGGTGTGCTTTTTTTTTTCTTTTTTTCAGAAATGGGTGTTGGAGCCCCTGGAACTGGAGTTACAGATGGTTGTGAGCCACTATATGGGTTCTGGGAACTGAACCTGGGTCCTCTGCAAGAGCAGCAAGCACTTATGATACATCTCTCCAGTCCAGAGATGTTTTTGTTGTTGTTCTTTTTCTTTTTTTTTTTTAATAGTTTGTTTATTGTTTTTTCTTTTCTTTCTCTGCTGCAAGACCAGGTTTCTCTGTGTAGCTCTGGCTACCCCAGAACTTGATCTGTAGACCAGGCTGGCCTCTAACTCAGAGATCCACCTGCCTCCCAAGTGCTGGGATTAAAGGTGTGCACCACCACCCAGCCCTTAATTTTTTTTTTAAAAACAAGGAATCAGATGAAAACTATCTTAGGCTTTGTGGGCACACATGGTCTCTTCCCTTTCCTATTAGTTAAAAAAAAAAAAGGAGCAACTTCTTAAAGACCATCTGGGTGTGTACACATTTGGGAGGCAGAATCAGAGGGTCCCAACATGGTTAGTGTCAGCCTGGATTACATATTGAGGCTTGGTCTCAAACTAAAACCAAACAAGCAGAGGTGAAGCTAGATGTAGTAGCTTTGTAACCTCAGCACATGGGGAGCTGAGGCTGGAAAACTACTGTAAGATTGAGCCTGGGCTACAGAGTGAGATGATCCTGTCTCAAAGCAAAAGTAAACAAGAGTGAAAAACATGCTTAGTTCAAGAGCTATACACAAACGGGGCGGAGGCTCGACTGGCTCACAAGCGGTTATTTGAACACTTCTAGTCTGTAAGGCAGTGCTTGTTTCTCCAAGGAAACCTAGCAGGCGAGCTAGAGACTCACACACAATTGCTTCATCAGGGAGAAGCTGAGCAGCTCTGGGTCAGCTTTGCCTATAAGTGCAGGTGAGGTTTTGGGTCAGAGGATTTGAAAAGTGAGCAGTGGTTCTTTTCCTCTCCTTATGATAAAATTTTCAAACATCTCAGTGTCATACAGAGAGACTAATGTGTATGGGAAGTGCAAGTGCCATGGAGGCTCCAGTGAAAGGAAGCATGGAGGCATGGGGTCCACATGTGATGTCAGAGGAGTGCCTTGAAAGAGAGTGGGTTGTTAGCATTCTAGGCCGAGTAAAGAACATCAAGGGGGCCTGGTACTCAGTCCCCAGGGAGGTGAGCTGAGTAGCTGAGGAGGGAGAGTTGCTATGGGAAATGTGCGGGGCGTGGGTGAGACCTGGAATAACAAGGCTGCAAAAGTACAAGTGGACCTGATGCTCCAGTGCTTTGCAGATCTGCTGCTTAGACACTGCTGAAGGAGGGTTGGGGTGCAGCTCAGCGAAAGAGCACTGGCCTAGCATAGTCAAGGCTCTGGGTTCCAGAGCATGGGTCAGCAACACAAAGAGTTCTATTAGTGTGCACACTTGGCTATGAGGCTTTGGACAACATGGGGCAAAGTCACTTTTTGTCTGCCTAGTTCTTGTGTCTGCTTACTTTACCTTGATACTTTCTTTTCTCCCTGGGACCTACCTTTCAGGATGCTGCTCACCTTTCTGCTTTTGGGCTTTTTACCTGGGCAGATGCTATCAGGGGCCTTGATGGCTGTATTAGGGCTATGAGTATAAGACAGTTTCTTCCCAATAGTTGCTGATTCACAGGGCAGCTCTGTATATATATATACAGCTGTTGGACAGGGAGAGGGAGGAGTGTGGCTCCAAATGGATAATGGGAAATGATATGAAGGGCAGATCTTTGCTTCCTAGGGGGTGTGTATCTGAGCTAAGCTTGGAAGGGGTGAGCACCACGTTAGGGACTGGTGGGAGGGATACAAAGGAAAGTCTCTGGAGAATGTGGGTTGTGTGGAGAAATGGGGCAAACAGAGGAAGTGAGCATGGCATGCCAGTTTAGGATTAGTATTGCAGGCCCCAAAGACAGGTCACAACAGGCTGTTTGGACCTGATCTGCTTGGCAACAGCATTCTTTTCGAACCAGAGTCTAACCCCTATGGCAGAGGAGTAGGTCCTTCTTGTCCAGAAGTGAAGCCTGCTCTTATTTCCCAACTCACATCTGTGGCCTGAGTGCTGCAGTCGCAGGTGGTGGGATAAGTGGCACCGAGGGGTCACTGCTGCCTGTCTGTTATGGTTTGTAGATAAGCTCACCAGTGCCAGCAAGGACTCCCTGAGCACCCATACCAGCCCCAGCCAGTCACCTAACAGTGTCCATGGCTCCCGCCGGGGCAGCATCAGTAGCATGAGCAGTGTCAGCTCAGTCCTGGACGAGAAGGATGATGACCGCATCCGCTGCTGCACACACTGCAAGGACAAGCTGCTCAAGAGAGAGCAGCAGATGGACGAGAAGGAGCACACACCTGACATCGTGAAGCTCTACGAGGTGACGCACGCCAGGCAGATCGGGCTGTTTGCTGTACTCCTGCCTGCAGGTTCTAGAGAGTGCTCTGGGAGGTTGTTCCCTTAAGTCACTTTCAGTTCCCGCCCAAGGCCATGGGGTGACTTCCCAGCTAGGGCCCTGGGTGAGTCAGAGTCTGTCATCCTGGGTGTGTGGTAGCAAACTCATTTTCCTACCTTCCCTCACCCACCCGAAAGGAAGGAGGCCCAAGACAAGCAGGGAAGAGTGGTTGTCCTGTGCATGCCAGGTTCTGTGCAAAGACAAGCTGGAGATGTAGTGAACTGTGGGCTGCAAGGGTCCTGGGAATCCCACATGGGAGTTTTGGTTTATCAGTTTTAGCTGTTAAGTGTTTTCAGGGCCTGTATGTTTTCTGCCTGTCAGCTGAGTCTCTTCTGAGTCTCAGATGCCTTAGTCTTCATTGCCTCCAGTGACCCTGGAGCACCTAAGTGGAGGCACACTGAGAGGGAGGCAAGGGAATGTGGCTCTGTGGTAGACCTCTTGCTGTAGGTTTCATCTCCAGTGAAAATCACATCTAAAATCAGTTGGTACACAAGAGGAAATAGAGTGTGTAAAGGACATCTGGACTGGATATGGTGGTATATCCCTTTAGCCCCAGCACTTAGGAGGCAGAAGCAAGTGGATCTCTGTTAGTTTGATGACAACCTGGTTTACATAGCAAGTTCCAGGCCAGCCAGGATTGCACAGAAAGACACTATTTAAAACAGAAAAAAATAAGCAAATTTAAAAAGAGGAAAAAAATCTGGGAATGAGGGTAGGCAAGCCTCCTAATGACCAGGTGACACCTGTGGGCTGAGGAGAACTAGTTTGGGAGACAGGTGGGGAAGTGAAGGACACTGGGAGCAGGGATCAGCCTGGGCAGAGGAAGTTACTTGAGCAAAACTCTGAGCCAAGGAAGAATATTCTCAGTGTACACTGGACGGCCATCTGCAGGTCATATTTACCTACTGTTTTGAGGAGAGCCCTGGCAGTGCCATGTGCTGGTAGCTGGCACCACCTGGCAGAGAACACAGTGGCTGATTCCTCTTCCCCATCTAGACACATTGTACTCTGGAAGGTTGCCTCTCAAAAACATCTAGTCAAAAGGTCCACCTCTGTTCTTTCCTTCCTGCGAGATTTTCTGTTTAGAAAATAGTCTACCCATAAGGAAACTAACAATAACAAAACAAAACAAGCCAGTGTTTTAAAGGGGGCCTTTTGTTGATGTCTCTAGTGTAGCTTGGCTTCTGTGTCCGAGTTCCTGTCTTCAGTGTAGCACTCACTCCTTCTCTTTTGTTCTTAGAAACTACGACTTTGCATGGAGAAAGTTGACCAGAAAGCTCCTGAATACATCAGGATGGCAGCATCTTTAAAGTAAGCCACTCCTCTCTGTTTTTCTGACTCATTGGTGGCTATGATCTGGCTGGTGAGGCCAGTTCTTCACTAGATGAAAATGGAGATAGAAATCTTTCTACTGTTTTTTTTGTTTTTTATTTTTTCCTCTTTGGTGCTAAGAATGGAACCTAGCCTTGTATGTACTTAGCACACGCTCTAGCACTGGGTACTCTCCTGCCAAAAAAATAGAATCCTTTTCCCCCAGATTTTAGGAGATTAATGTTAATATGTTCATCAGTATGTATTTGGTGCCAGACCGCCTCTTTGGTTTTTTTTTTAATTTTTTTTTTTTTTAAGATTTATTTATTTAGGCCAGGCGGTGGTGGCGCACGCCTTTAATCCCAGCACTCGGGAGGCAGAGCCAGGTGGATCTCTGTGAGTTCGAGGCCAGCCTGGGCTACCAAGTGAGTCCCAGGAAAGGCGCAAAGCTACACAGAGAAACCCTGTCTCGAAAAACAAAAAAAAAAAAAAGATTTATTTATTTATTATGTGTACAGTGTTCTGCTTGTATGGATCCCTTCAGGCCAGAAGAGGGCACCAGATCTCATTACAGATGGTTGTGAGCCACCATGTGGTTGCTGGGAATTGAATTCAGGGCCTCTGGAAAAATACCCAGTACTCTTAACCCCGAGCCATCTCTCCAGCCCTCCATACTGCCTCTTAAGCTCCCAACCCCCAGCCTCTTCTGGGAGCACTTAAAGGTGTAAAGTTGAAAATAGAATCTTAACTCTGACTTCTCACATTTGTGCATTGGTGGACACCTGTTTTTGTCACATGATTTTTGAAAATACACATAACTGTCCATTTCGTACCCAGCCTGCCAAGGTGCCTCTTAACAGTGCGTTGTAATGTCAGGCTTATAACAGGTATTTCAAGCACAGATGGTACACAGCGGCACTGGGCAAATGCAGGCTATCTTACACTTTTCCGTGTACAGTTAGTTCAGTGATGTTATGTAGTATAGTCACAGGGTTGTCTGGTTGTCGCTGCCATCTGAGTTGCAGGTGTTCTTATCACTCTGGCGAGTAGCCTCACACCTGTGAGCAACTTGCCCTCTTCCTAGCAATCACTGATCTGCCTGGATTTGCCAGTGTGTGATACTCCATTATAAATGGAATTACATGACCTTTTGTGTCTGGCTGCTTCTACGTACATCAGTGTTTCCAACATTCATCCATGTTGTAGAATTGTCCTTGTATTAAAATGTATAGATTTATTTATGAAGTTTGCTTATTCATTCATTCATTGTCAATTGATGTTTATTTGGGTTCCCTCTCACACACTTTAAACTGTTGTGGTTAACACAGTTTTTTATTTCTGTTTGTTTTTGAGATAAGTTCTTATGTAGTCCAGGCTGGTCTCTTTGACCTTTTGATCTTCCTGTGTTTACCTCCAAGTACTCGGACTACAGACATATGCCAACATGCCTGGCCAGGAATACTGCACCTTTCATAATTGTTTGTGTGTATGTACGAACCTGTGTGTGTTTGCATAGGAGTATAACTTATGCTGGGTTTTAATCATAAAAACTCTGCATTTAACTTTTTGAGGATGCAAAATTATGTTCCAAAGAACTTTGTGGATATATCTTTGTCCTGGCATTTTATAATTTTGTTTCTCCACAGTCTGGCTAACACTTGTGGCCACCTGTTTCTTACATACTTATTTAGTGTATGGGGTGCATCTTGTGTATGATGTGTGTGTGTGCTCTTGTGTATGAATGTAGGTTCATGCATCCATGGCTAGTGCTGCCTTTCTACATTTTGTGATTTTCCCTGGGGACAGCCATTGCTGAGCATATTTCCAAATGGTTAACTTTCAGTGCTCCTCCAGGGACCATCTTTCCTGGGTTTTAGGTCACTGCATTCATTCACTGAGCAGATGCTTCATGAGCACTGCTAGTTCTGTGCCACATACTGTTCTCCCTTCGTTCTTGTGACTGAGGCAGTGGACAGAGACGATAGTGCCTATCTTATGGACCATCCTCAAGGGAGCAAGTATTGAACTGGCTAACTCCAGCCGTGACAGTGCTCTGAGGGAGTAAAATTGATGTGAGGAAGTGATTTCAGGCCTCAGTTAGCTTTTTGATTTTCTGTGAGCCACCAAGACAGAGCTTTAGTCCTAGTTAGGAGTCTGAGACACGATCCTTGGAGCTGAGGTATTCAGCATAGCAAGGTTCCACTTAAAAAGAAAAACAAAATCCAGAGTTTCTCTGTGTAGCCCTAGCTGTCCTGGAACCAACTCTGTAGCCCAGGCTGGCCTTGAACTTACAGAGATCTGCCTGCTCCTGCCTTCTGAGTGCTGAGATTAAAGGCATGGGCCATCACTGCTTTCTTACTTCCAGTCTCCTGTTTTTGCAAATTTTATGGTGAAAAGATGATGAAGCCACTGTAGTGAATCCCCTGATGATAGAACACTCCCATATTGTTTTCTAGTCAGAACAGTTTTATACACGGTAAATTTGGTAATGCTTACTTAAGTTATAGCTGCTTCCCATAAAGAGTTGAGTAGCTGGTGGTGAGGCTGGTTCCAGGTGAGAAAGCTGCTGAGCTGTTCTCATGATCCAAAAGTTCATCACCAAGCATATGGAAAAGAAAAGCTATAATTATGGTACTTGGGTTTCAGCAGTCTGGCAAGGTTGGGTGACAAGCTTGCAAATGAATAATTACAGCACTAGAGTTGACGCTGCTGATCTGAGTTAAGCTGCATCTGGTCTCTTCTGACATCCCCTCACCACCCTGGGCAGTTCATCCCTATATGGAGCAGTTGTTTGTGAGAGTCGGGGCCGGGCGGTTGACACAGCTCAGGAGATCCCTGTTCACTGCATAGTTACTCCTCTTCAGCAGTAGCTGAGTGTGAAAAGCCACGTGACTTCCAGCTTTCGTGTAGTTTTATTGGCTCATTGACTGAGTCACTTTATATCTCCTATAAGATAAAGTGGACAACTGCTCAGGAAAAGTAGTCAGAGAGAGCTCAGCTGCATTTGTTTTGTTGATGAGCCTAAGAGCTGGTCTTTGCGGGCTGGGTGATGCTCAGCAGTTACTGAGTGCTCTTCCAGAGCACCAGATTTAGGTTCCCAACACCTATGTTAGGTGGCTCATAACCTCACAACCTCCTGTAACTCCAGCTCTAGGGGATTTGACACTTCTGGCTCCCACAGGCGTATATACTCACACCCATACACATATGTAAAAATAGTAAAATAAATCTTAAAAAAATGGCTTCTGCTTAATTACTACATCCCGAGGTATTGATGCATTATCTCTATGAGTCTAAAAGCCTTAGGATTAACCATCTATGTCTGAGGATGTAAGCACTGTGCTCTCCAGTTAGCACCATGAAACTTAGGTCAAACCTTTACGATTTCTCCTTAGTGCTGGGGAGACGACCTACAGTCTGGAGCATGCCAATGACCTTCGAGTGGAAGTGCAGAAAGTGTACGAGCTAATAGATGCTTTAAGGTGAGTTTGCTAGGTCACGTTTCTGCTGCTGGTTAATGGGAAGAAGAAGGTGTTTTGATAAAACGGTGAGTGGTGGGCAGCAGCTTTGGGCTAATCTAGAGTCCTAGTGACGGAACAGTGGAGGAGGGAAGGTGCCTGCTTTGCTATCTACTATAGCTCTGTAACTTCTGTGCTTAGGGGTGGGGTGCAGGTCAGTAATAGAGTACTCGTCTAGCATGTACAGTGTCCTGGGTTCCATCCCCAGCATGCAGGGGATCAGAGAAAAAGATTTCTGATGTTCATTAGTAATAAATAAGAGCTGCTGTACTACCCGTGTGCCTGTCCTCGTGGAACAGGACAGGGTTAGCACCTCCATTTCATAGGAGAGGAGCTCAGGAACCCAGGATCTTTGGGTGGCTGCACTCTTGAATATTTTAAGGCGGTGACAGCAAGACATAAAAGTATGGGTTGTTAGTTGCCACACCCTGTGTTCACCTGTGAAACCAGGCTTTCCTATGTTGCTGCTTCTGTGGCCACACATTCATCTGTGCAGTGCTAGAGGAGCCAGAGGGTAAAGAATGGGCCTTGCTATGAGGAACACTTCAGTTTCCTCCGTGTTCCACATCCTCCTGGTACCAGAACCTGGCAGCTCTAGAGACTTCACCGTGTTTCCGAGGCTGGCAGCACCCATCACATTGGTGCCTTTGTTCCAATATAGTAAGAAGATCTTAACCTTGGGCTTGAACCAGGACCCTTCACCACATCCAAACACTTTGCGGCTACAGAGAATGATCAGATATTCAGCTACACTATTTGTGCAGGTAAAGCCATGCTAGGGTGACATAAGTGTGTGGCTTGCTTGTTTTTTGTTGGTACATTTATTATTTCTTAAAATTATGAATGCTACATTTGGAGAAAAAGCTGAAACCTAGGTAAAAGTAAAGATATGTTTTAAAAATTATTAAACATTTTGACAACTTCATACATGCATACAGTTATTGTGGTCATATCACCCTCATCATCCACTCTCATCCCCTCCATTCCTGTTGACAACTTTGTCCCAGCTAGTCTGCCTCCTGCTTCATGCCTTTTATTCTATGTATGTATTTATGTTCGTATGTATGTTTTTTATTGTGTGTGTGTGTGTGTGTGTGTGTGTGTGTGTGTGTGTGTAGTGTTTTTTAGATTTTCTTTTTAGATTGTGTATATGTGTATCTACATGTAGGTTGATGCATGTGTACATGCAGGTGCTGCAGAGCCCAGGGAGGGCAGTGGATGCCCTGGATCTGGAGTTACGGGCATTGTGAGCTGCCTGATGTTAGAGCTGGGAACCGGATGCAGGCCCTCTTCACTCCTGAGCCATCTCTGCAGCCCCAATTTTGTGTTTAAAATAGCTTTTAATCCTACGTCCCCAATACAAGTGTTCTTCATTCTGGTATATTTTCTCTCTTAATTCTTTTCTCCATTTACATTTTCATATGTACCATTTTTAATTAGTTCATTGCATTCGTTTTCTCGTTGCTGTGATAAAATACTTTAAACTTAAGGACAACTTTATTTGGGTGACAGTTTGAATGTGTCATGGCGGCAGGAGCTTGAGGCAACAGGTCATGTATCTGAGTCAGGAAACAGAGAGAGATGAACACTGGTGCTCAGCTAGCTCTCCTTTTTATTCACTCTGGGAGCCAGCTCATAGAACAGTGCCACCCACACCAGAGTGGGTCTTCCCGCCTCAGACTTTTTTGGAGAGACCTTATGGACACGCACAGAGGTGTGTTTCAATTCCAACCCATTCAAGTGGACAAGGAAGATCAAGCCTTCCTTACATACCTGCAAATCTGTATCGTTTTAACCACTGAATCTTCTGTGCTTGATTGCCCACAGAATGCTACTTTGGCTCTGTCTGCTGTCCTCTATTGAACCAATTCATTTTAGTTGGGGAGTTGGTGGAGTCAAGTTTTTGCTGCTAGTGGTAGGGGACTCTTTCTGGGCCATTGGCTAATGGTTCAGGAGCAGACTCAAGCTTGGTGACTAGATCTGAGTTGCCTTTTCCTACCTCTGATGTCCCCTGCATTGTTGGAGTCCCTGGATGACTTGGGTGAAGTAGCTCTGTGAAGACTCCTCTCCCTGGCAGTTGTTTCCTGCTCAGATCGTCTGAGGAAGGCCAGGAGTCCTAGAAATTTCATGGATTTGCTGAGCCTGTCGTCAGCTTCTTGACGTTTCATGACTTTAGGCCTCTAGGAGGGAATATTTCCGTTGGTAGAATGTGGTTACATAGCAAGGGATCAACAACAAATTACCAAAGCATGGGGTGTAGTAAACAGTATGAAGTACTAGGGAGCGATCTGAGTGTGGTAAATAAGCACAGTGGTGGCAGGCAGTGCTGGAATCTAGGTGGATGTGGGAAGATGGGGTCGAAGCACAGCCTCAGGAAAAGCTGTCACAGTCCTGGGGATATCTGGAGAGCTGATGTAATCGGCTCATAAGGAAAAGGCAGCTCCATGTGAAAGGTGACTACCAGTTAGCATGAATGTCCTTCCTGTCAATGGACAGAGTGCCTTAGCTTAAGCTTAAGTGTATAAGGCGTAAGGTCAAGCCCAGCCCACCCCACCCCAAAAAAAACCTCTTAAGTGTAAAATTGTCTGTTACTATCCTACAGGAAAAGTTACTGGGGTTGATGTCACTGCCAACCAAAGAACAGTTTGAAGAACTGAAAAAGAAAAGGAAGCAGGACTTGGAACAGAAGAGGACCATGGAGAGACAGGTGCATGGCCCCCAGGGGTCCAGTAGCTGTTGCTTCCCTGCTCTCATATCCCACCCTCTACTGCTGAGTCTCCTTCTCGAGCTGGCTTCTGCTATGGCCTTAGAAAAATAGTTGTTTTTCCTGCTGATGCTCTCCTGCCTAGACCACCACAAAGGTTGGCAATTTTCCCTCTGGTAGGCTTGCAGGCAAGTTCCAGAAGACCTTGGAATGTGCACTGTTCATCTGAAAACAGCAGGTGTGGTGGCACATGCCTGGATCCCAGCCCTCAAGAGGCTGAGACAAGAGGATTTTGAGTTCCAGACCAGCCAGGGCTATAGTGAGGCTGTGTCGTTTACAAGAAAATGAGGGTGCTGTTTCACAGTTTGGTGATAGAATGCTTGCTTAGCATGCTTGAGGCCCCAGGTTCTATCCCCAGCACCACAGAAAAACAAAATGAAAACAAAACAAAGTGTACTTTAGCATCATCTGAAATGCTAGCAAGAGTGGCAGTCTTTGAAAGTTTAAGAAAAGTGTACAGCCAGTGAAACTCAGCTGGAGGAAATCTTCTCAACTTACGTTTTATTTTTGAAAATCTAAGCCTGTCCTCCTATGACTTCCTCGTTTCAGCAGTCGAATTATGCTAGTGTTGTGGGGACCATGGAGGGTGGCAGGCAGGGAGGACTGCTGGCTTGGGGACCATGGTGACGCTGGTGGTGTGTGCTGTCTCTGCAGGCTGCTCTGGAGTCCCGGCGGAAGCTGGAGGAAAGGCAGAGTGGTTTGGCATCTCCTGCAGCCAATGGGGAAGTGAGGTCTCTCCGAGGCATCCCTGCCCCCTTGCGAAAAGCTGAGGGCTGGCTCCCACTGTCGGAAGGTCAGGGACAGAGTGAAGACCCCGACCCTCTCCTCCAGCAGATCTACAACATTACGTCCTTCATCAGGCAGGCCAAGGCCGCAGGCCGCACGGATGAGGTGCGCACACTGCAGGAGAACCTGCGGCAGCTTCAGGACGAGTATGACCAGCAGCAGACGGAGAAGGCCATTGAGCTGTCCCGGAGGCAGGCTGAGGAGGAGGAGCTGCAGCGGGAGCAGCTGCAGATGCTCCGGAGACGGGAGCTGGAGCGAGAACAGGAGCAGTTCCTGGCGTCATCCCTGCACACACGGACTCGTGCGCTGGACCTCCGCGAAGTCATACCCTTCCAGTTGGAGCCCAGCCGCGGGCCTCACAGCGATCTGGCCTATGCCTTGGACCCAGCTTCCTCCCCAGTTCTTGGCAGCACTGCTCCAGACACCCTTTCACCTGGCTCAGCTCAAGCACCCGTCCACTTGTGGTCCGGCCCCCCAGCCCTTGGTCAGGAACTGCTCCTCGAGAGCGCCGAATCACAACCGAGTGAGAAGACCTCTCTCAACCCGTTTGATGAGGAAGATCTTTCCAGCCCTACAGAGGGTGCTGCCAGCCCGGCTGCTGTAGAGGCTTTCCCGGGCCCTGCAGCTGCTCTCACCAGAGAATACAATCCTTTTGAGGAAGATGCTGAGGAAGAGGAGGGGGCAGAGCTGGGGGTAGGGAATCCCTTCACTGACTCAAACAGTGCAACACCCAATCCCTTTGATGAGGATGACCACCCCAGGCCTGCCAGCCCACCTGCCCCTGGGAACCCTTTTGAGGAGTGCCCCTGCACCAACCCCTTCGAGGTGGACAGTGACAGTGGCACAGAGGCTGAGGAGCACATCGAGGAGGAGCTGCTCCTGCAGCAGATCGACAACATCAAGGCTTACATCTTTGACGCCAAGCAGTGTGGTCGAATGGACGAGGTTGAAGTGCTGACAGAGAACCTTCGGGAGCTGAAGTGTACCCTGGCTAAGCAGAAGGGGGGCCCTAACTGACAGCAGTGGGCAGGAAGCAGGCAGAGTCTTGGGCAGCAGGGTCCCAAGGGGGAGGAGGAGATGGGTGGGTATCTGGACACACAAGGCTGAGGGGTGGGAACAGTAGTCTCTTGCTGTGCTCTTAGAGTCGTTTCCACTACAGTTTAACAAGAACAGAAAACAAATCGGCATTCATTCGCTGGTTTTTCTGTATTATTATTTTTTTAACGAAGTGTTCCCTTTTCAGGGGACTTTACCATTTTATTCCTGAGATACAGTTCAGTGCAACTGTTGGGCCAAGGCAAATGGCTCCTGCGCACCTCTTGGTCCGTTTCCTGCTGGCTGTTCTTGGTCATGATCAGTATTATAGATCAGCCCTTGACAGGCCCCTTTCTGTAGGGGCTCTGGCAGAAGTCCCGATTTGGCTGCTCCCCTTCACCACCTCCCTTGCTTGGGCTGTCTCCTGGACACTTAGGGAGATGCTGCTATGAAGGGAAGTCTGGACCCAGGAGGACCAGTGCCTCTTTATGGATGGTGGGGATGTTGCCAGTATTGTCCCTTCTCAGTTAAAGAAAGTAGTTTCCAAGTGCAGGGGAGTCAGTGTGAGCTTGATTACGAGACAGGAGTGACCAGCTTTTTGGTGGATGTTGTGGTTTGGAGAAGACTCTACCTGGGCAGTTGTCTGTCCCTGGAAGCCTTCCAGGCTTTGGCAGAATGACTGCTCTCCAGGTCACACTGAAGGGCCTGTATGTGGTTTGGGAATCTGACCAGGAAGCTTCTGTGGAGTATTGGCAGGAGATGGAACACTTCTGAGTCGGGGGATACATTCTAGTAACTTCCAAGGCTCTCCAGTCAGCCTTCTTCACTGTGGTTCATCCTGACCTGGGAAACTGGTGAGATGTTTTCTCACTACTTTGAGTACTAAGAAACAGGAATATTTGACGCACAGCCTCAGATCATTCCACAGTCCTGAAGCACTTGAATTCTGATAGGGACAGAAAGGGAAGTTATGTACTATAGTGCTTTGGTTTACAGAACAGATGGGTTGACAGATGACATTGTAAGATCCTGGTGTGCTCAGCTCTGCATACTCTCTGCAATGATGCTCTTTAGTTAATGGCAATAATTGACCACTAGTCACTTTACCCCTGAGCCATGGCTTCTGTTAGTTATTGGTGTATGAGCTGAAATTCTTTTGTCACATTCTGGTGAAGATCCATCTTGGTGGTAAGAATGGCATCTGGGTGCAAAGATCTCTGTTTTGGCAGCTGTTCATTAGTACTTGTTGGGGCTTTGTCCTGCTTGGGGCTGTGGGAAGAGTTGGAGAGGGAGGGTAATGGGGGACCCTTTGGGTTCTGTCAGCAGATGTTTACTGACTGATGAGTGCATTACCAGTGCCAGTCAGTGGCCAGCTCTGTTGGTGTCATGGGCTGTTCTGGGAGGTGGGCAACCTGGCATCCATGTTTCCTGGGGCGGGCATCTTCTCTTCCTAAGGCCCAGGCTCTAGATGCTGTTGCCCTAGGATTCCGGGCATACCCAGCCTATCCACCCTGCTTGGACTGCCTTTTGTCTGACCGAAGAGGAGGCAGCTCTCTACACAGAATGAAGCTGAACACTGGTTCCCACTACCACTTCCTGACATAGATCAGGTGTTGAGGGCAGTATGGCTGTAGACATTGCTTTTCTTATGAGACAAGGTTTCTTAATTAGCTGGTGACTAAATGTCCTCCTTTCCTGAACTCACCTTCAGGTAGCAGCAGTCTGTGACTGAGAGCATGGAGAAAACAAATGCTTTTAGCAACTATTTTTTAAATATCAATTCATTGAATATTAAACCAAGTAAACTCAGATTCTAGAGGTTTCACTGACTTTCTCATTGAATTCCTCTTTGGCCATACTCTGTAAGTCAGACATGACAGGGGAGACTTGCCTACCCTTTGTATCACTTCCTAGAATGTATGTAGGTCAAGGTTGGTTTGCAGAGGGAGTTGGCCTATGAGTGTAACTACACAGTGTATCTCATGTGAACACTTCATGATTCCAGAGGCGCTTCACCTGATCAGTAAAGGAGCACGTCCTTGGTAGAGAGTTGGCAGATCTCCTAGATGGAGGTCATGTTCATCTGTGGAAGGGCTTCTGGTTTTGTCCGCTTCTAACACACTAAGGACCTAGAGCCTCACTCACCACACTTACCGCTCATCGTGTGTTTGTTGTCAGATGCTGAAATGTCCTAAGTCATCATGAGCCAGGCGACATAAGCCATAGGCCATTCCATTCAGATTGAGGAGTTGGTCTCTGTACTAGGTCAGACTAGAGCACGGTGTGTTGGTAATCATGGTGACTGTTACCTTGATGGTCATTGATGCGCATGCACTACACTGGGGCCTTGTATCAGAGGCTTTTATTAAAAAAATAAAATAACATGTATGTGAGTCTTTTATTAAAAAATAACATTTGTGGCTCTGTGTGTGTGTGTAGCTAGAGTTTTCCTGCCTTGCCCACAGTCAGGACAAATCTCTGTCACCCGCCAGTCCCACAGCTGCTCAGACCCAACCAAGTAAACACAGAGACTTATATTGCTTACAAACTGTATGGCCGTGGCAGGCCTCCTGTTAACTATTCTTATATCTTAAAGTAACGCATTTCTACAAATCTATACCTTGCCACGTGGCTCGTGGCTTACCAGCATCTTCACATGCTGCTTGTCCTGGCGGTGGCTGGCAGCCAGTCCTTCTGCCTTCCTGTCCTTTTATTTCTCCTCTCTGTTAGTCCCGCCTATCCTTCCTGCCTAGCCACAGCCGATCAGGTTTTATTTATTGATCAATCAGAACAACTTGACATACAGACCATCCCCCAGCACAGCCAAGTGCAGACCATCTCAGACACCTGCACTCAGGCCCCTGGTCCTAATCATCCTCTATGCGGACCTGCTAGGTAACGCCACAAAGAACCCAAGAAGGGCTCCCACAGGACATACAGAACATCCCACAGCATGTGTGTGCTTAAAACATCCCTCCATCTCCCTTTTGTAGTGTGTATGTGCATGTGCACACGCAAGTGTTTGCTTGTGTACACTAAGCCTTGGGTCTTAGTCTTAGGAAAGCTATCCGCCTTCTTTTAGGCAGAGTTTCTCATCCTAAAGCTCTCCAATTAGGCTAGACTGGCTGGTCAGCACGTCCTAGGGGTCCTCATCTTCCTCTCCCCAGCCCTGAGATTACAAATGCATATCACCATGCTCAACACATTTGTGGGTTCTGAGGATCAAACTCAGGTCCTTGGGTTGCAAAGTGAGCACTAAAGGAGCTGTTTTACACAAACACAGGCCAGACCCCTGTCCAGTCCTATCATCCCTGTTTCCCACAGAAACTGAGGGTTTCTGGCAATTGTGTGAAGCTGGCCTCTTAGAAGCCTTGTCTGTGTCCCCTTCGAATGTACTAAGGACACTTTGCAGTCCTAGCCCCACTTCCACCAGAAACAGGGGCTCAGAGAGGTGGGGAGCCTGGGACTGCCACATTTCACACTTACCCCAGCTCTGCCAGCAGGTCTCTGATGTGTTACTTGACAGAGGACAATATGAAAACTCATGACTCACTTTGCCGTCAGTACCAGGGCAGGTTTAGGTTGGCTCAGGAATAGTGGAGGAGGGCTCTGCTACTGTGCCAACCAAAAAGAGAGCAGATGAGCAGTCTAGAAAGAAGCTGGGTACCAACTAAGCGGGTTCTACAGAGACTTCGCCTGGGGCCTGGGTGGGGAGGGTTTGTATCCAGTACTCAACTGTGGGCCAGAGCTCAGTATGATTGGGGGTCACCTCACTGAATCTTCCCAGCTAACAAGAAAAGCAAGTGGTAACACTGAATTGCTCAGCGTCGTCTCTCTGGGACCCTGCCCAGGCCTGTCTGGTTCAGGACCCCAAGCTGTTTGTGTGGGACGCTGGGTTTCGTGTGGATGCAGTGTCATCTATGACTGGACTTCAAGACCTGCAGCCCCCTCAGGAGCCTAGCAGAATTTTAATCACTTCAGAATTTTAGGTCAGCATTTCTGATCTTAGCTGAAATGTCTTTTGGAAGTTGTCACTCTTCTTAGAAGCAGCAGCTGGACAGAATGAAAACCAGTAACCTTCCTTGGAACCGCAAGGGGACTGATTTGCAGGGCTTAATGTCCCCCCAACATCTGGAGTGGTGAGTCCAGAGTCAGCCAAGAGCTGATGACTGCAGCAGAAGCCATGACCGGTCGGAGTACCAGCAGCAGTTTGGCGTGTGGTTGCAGGGCTGTGATTGAGGATAGGGCCTTGCACATACAGGCATGTGCTCTACTACTGGGCTATATTCCTAGCTCTATCTTTCAGGCAGGGTCTTACTGCGTCCCCTGAGCTGGCTTTTAATTCACTTTGTAGCCCACGCAGGCCTTGAACTTATGATCCTCTGTCTCAGAATCACAGGTCTGCATGACCAAACCTGGCAGATAGCCTTGTCGAGTCCCGGAGTCTGACTGTCCACCAGGCAGTGAGGCCTTGCTTCCTGAAAAGGCTGCTCCTGTTGGCTCTCAGGGTGAGACACTGAGAATGCACCTGCTATAGCTATGGCAGAGGAAGGAAAGGTTCTTTGTAACTAGAGCAACCCAGCAATGGCTTCTGCAGATGGAGAAACTTCACCAAACTCACTCATTTGGGCAAACATAATGCTCCCGCCACAGTCCCGTGCAGCCTTCTTTGTCTGAGGGAGAAGTAGGGAATTAAGAAATGTGTGAAGGCCATGGCCTGAGAGTTAATTCTAAGATCATAGAACACGTCCATCTGTTCCTCATATTCCCGCAGGGATCCAGGGTGGGTAGTAAGAGGATCACAGCAGCAAGAGCCTGCAGAGGAGCAGCCGGGAATTCCACGCTCTGGACACTAGCCACAGCAAAGTCTTCACACTGGAGACCTGGATCTTCGTTTCCACTCCCCACAGAGCCATGTCTCACCAACGGCTGGCTACAAGCATCCTAAACGGTGAGCGAGCCACGCAAGTACACGGACATTGGAATTAGCAGGCGGGAAATTGAACTGCAAGTTGTGCGTTACAGAGACTAACACAAGCGAACAGCATGCAAGAACCAGTGGATGGCAGGTGGTTCTTGGTGCCTGCTGCACTCTTGCAGTATGCTCAACAAGTTTACCTTCCCCTCTCCTCAGACAGGACCTCACTATGTAGTCCTGGCTGAAGCTCATTAGTGATGCACCTACGCATGCAGGCAAAACACTCAAAGTAAATGAATCTCAAACAAACAAACAAACAAACAAACAAACAAAAAACAGGAGCCAGGGAGATGACTCAGTGGGTAAGAATGCTTGCTAACACAAATATGAGGGCCTGAGTTTGGATCCTAGCACCCATGTAAAAATCTAGGTGAGGTCATTTGTGCTTGTAACTCCAGAAGTGTCGGTTACAATCCCAGTTGCTGGAGCTCCTGGTCACCAACCTAGCAACCTAGCTCCAGAATCAGAGAAAGACCTTGTCTCAAGGAAACAGGCAGAAATAGAACTGGACACCTGACTTCCCCCAGCCTCCAAATGTGTGCACGGGACACCCCCAGAGCAGTTGGGTAACGTGCGCAGAGCTAAGAACACATACAAAACACACAGGCAAGACGCTAAGATAAAAATAAATTTTAAAAAAATTAGAGCGGAGTGACATATTGGTTGTTGGTTCACCGTCCTAAAGCGCAGTATCTGCAAAGACAGCAAATGAGATAGACCCTTCCCCTGAGCAGAGTTCTTCAGAGCCGACCGGACGCTCCAGAGCAAGCCACGTTCTTTCCTCCTTTGCAAATCAGTTTTCTATTGACTCAATAGCGACTTCTCAGTCGAGATCTCCATTTCAAAACTGGAGATCTGGGGAGAGGACCCTTGATTTCTAGAAGGGCAAGACGACCAACTGACTTCCAGCGCCGGAGCGGTTGCGACCCCGGGCCGAGACTACGAGTCCCAGGCTGCCCCGCGACTGCACGGCCCGCCGGGAGGCGCCTCCCGAGATTCCGCGCGTCGCGGAGACGCGCGGGTCCGCGGCTTGAGACGCTGCCGTCGCCACCATGCCGATGAAGGGCCGCTTCCCTATCCGCCGCACGCTGCAGTACCTGGGCCGCGGGGATGTGGTATTCAAGGAGTCGGTGAAGGTCATGACCGTGAACTACAACACGCAGGGGGAGCTGGGCGAAGGCGCCAGGTCAGTGTGGGTCACACCCCGCGGGGTTCCGTGAGAAGTTGACGCGGTGGAGGCCGTCCCGACAGATCCCGGGAGAAACCCGAGCGCCACACCGTGACCCAAGGGATGGGTTGCGGCTCCAGGGCTGGCAGCTCGTAGAACACGAGCCGCTGGGTGGCGCGAGGAAACTTCGGCGTCGGGAGGGGAGTGGTGACTTTGCGCACCTGTGCACACCATGGCTCCCTGCAGGTTAGGACTGCTAATTGAAAGGTTTCATTGACCCGCCAGCATCCTTGAGCAATGCCTTGGACCCTTCAGTACTCACTGAACGTTTATCGAGCACCCCAAACGCCAAGTTCAGTACTGGGAGTTCCAACAGTGCGGGAGAAACCAACCCTTGACTGTAGACAGGAACGGGTTTGTGGGGCGAATCAGAATGAGAGAAACGAGTAATTCCTGTCTGAGAGTGGTCCGGCCTTGACTTCAAGGGAGCCGGAAGCTGCCTCCTAGTCATTTTCTCTGGTCAAGTGACCTCCAAGAGCTAGGATCTGCTGGCCTGGGATCTGTTGGGGTGAGGGCCTGGAAGGCTGGGTGCCGGTGGACCAGAGGGCTCTGCTTTCTTGTCAGGGATTCATACTCTTAAGACGAAGCTCTCAGGATGCAGACAGAGCGTGATCATTTGAGTGACAGGCCTGGGTGGTAGAAGTCCAGAGTAAGAGAGCTGAGGCCTCTCCCTTAACTAGTTGTGTGACCTTGTGGTAGTTCGCTCAACTTTTGACCTCATTTTTCTTAGTTGTAAAACCACAAAGTCAGTGTCTCGGGGGTGGGGGTGGGTGGTGGGAGATAACAAAGGACCTGGTAGAGTGCAGTAGGTGCTGACCTTTGGTCATTGGTTCTCAATAAGGACTATTCTAAGATTCTTGGTGCCAGTTTGGGTCTAGTATTTGGCTATGCTCTGGTTTGTTTGCACAGGGTTCTGTGACGTTGGGACATCACTCTGCTTTGGGACAGGAAGGAGCAGAGGCCTGCTGAGAGCTTTTAGGTAGTGTGCTTTGGGAGTCTTCAGGGCTATATTTCCTCTCCAGAAGCAGGACTTGGAGCTTTTCAAGTTTTGTGTTGATGTAATTACTTACTCAAAGAGCTCCGTGTGTGTGTGTGTGTGTGTGTGTGTGTGTGTGTGTGTGTGTGTGTGTGTGTGTGTGTATGTGGTGTGCACATACATACACCAGCATTCAATCAAAGGTCGTGTTTCTAAGGAGCTGGCAAACTTGTTTTCTTTCTTTTTGAAATAGGATCTCTTCCCTGGGCCTTATGGATTCAGCTAGGCTGATCAACAAGCCTGGAAGAGTTTCTTGTCTCCATCCCTCCCTCCTAGTGCTGAGATTACAAGTGCCACCATACCTGGCTTTTCTTTTTTAGATTTATTCTTATCTCTCTCTCTGTGCTATGTGCCTCTCTGTTTATTCACACCGTGTGTGTGTGTGTGTGTGTGTGTGTGTGTGTGTGTGTGTGTGTGGTTTTTGTGCAGGTGTCTGGCCTGCAGAGGCCAGAGGGTGTTGGATCTCCTAGAACTGGAGTTATAGGCAGTTGTGAGGTGCCTGATGTGGATGGATATTGGGAACTGAACTCAGGTCCTCTGGAAGAACAGTAAGCACTCTTAACTGCTGGGCCATTTCTCCAGTCCCAATTAAAATCTTTAAATTTTAGTTGAGACAGAGTCTCACTGTGTGTCCTTAGCTGGCTTGGAACTCCTACATAGACCAGGCTAGCTTCCAGCTCAGGAGGGATCTTCTTGCCTCTCTCTCTGCTTCCTGACTACTGAGTTTAAAGGTATGCCACCACACCTCACTGGCTTTTAAAAAACTGTGTGTGTTTACCTCCATGTATGTATGTGTATCACATGCATTTCTGGTGCCCACAAAAGTCAAGAGGGAGTCAGATTCCTCGAACTGGAGTTACAGGCAGTTGTGAGCTGCCATGTGAACCAGGTCCTCTGAAAGAGCAACAGGTGATCTTAACCACTGAGCCATCGCTGTAGCCCCTAGCTTTGTTTGTTTGTTTTTAAGTGGGTCCTGGGGTTCAAACCCTGGTCTTCCTGCTTGTGCAGCAAGCACTTTACTGATTAAGCCATCTCCCTAGCACACCGTTTCATTTTTCAGGTTAGACATTGCTTGCAGACTTTGCCCTGTTGGAAGAGGAGTGTGGTTCTCATGGCCATTGCCACTGCCCACATCCACATCTGCATCCTTTTCAGGCTGTCCTCCCTAGAAGGTTACTTCTGAAGTTCAGAGAGAACATGAATTCTCTGACAATTTAAACACTAAGAATATTGATGTTACTGTGACTTTGAGTGAAAGAGAATACTATGATTAAGTTTCTGGGTTTAACAAGTACTTTTGCTTTACTGACAGTTATTTAATTTTTGTCCCTTTATTTAACTGCAGATTCTGTCCCGGTTGCAGTAGTGTCTTAAGTGGTTTCAGGTGGGCTTTCTGTTGAGTCAGTTTTGTCCCTGACATCATTTTTAGATGCTTCAATCTGGATTGGTGGTGTAGGGACATGATGACCAAGACGTTCTTAGTCATAATCACTGAGGCAAAGAATTGTTCCATGCCCTGGGTCAGGTGACTAGAAGTAGAAAACCAGGCTCAATAGCCAGACAGTGTGTCTGAGGCCAAGCTTCTAGTCCATGGATCCAGAGCCCTGTCTGTGGGTGTGGGACGGACAGCAGAAGTCAGGGATGCCTTTGAGTGAGGGCATTTGAGGAACCTTAATTAAGTGTGGACAGAAATGAAGAAAAGACACCTTGAGGGAAAGCATAGACCCTAGCATAGGCTGGACAGGTGAGGGAAGGAATGTCTGTTGGAGCCTGAAGATCAAGGGGTCTGTCCACAGGGGCCTTCAGGCTGGTCATGCCAGGGCTGAGCCAGGAAAAAAAGGTAGCTGCCTTTACCTGTCACTGGTACTTCCTGTCAGCCTTTGGAATCCAGAAGCCGACAGCAAGTAGCCCTTATAGTAGGAAGCTGAGGGTGGTGAGGGCCCAGTGTGCAGAGCCAGTAGTGGCCTAGATTTTACTCTGTGCTGTGGACAGCAGATATAATGCTTTATCGTTTTGTGGTTCTGGGATGGAATCCTGAGCCTTGTGCGTGCTGGGAAGGTGCTCTGCCGTGAAGCCATCTGCAGTCCTGCTGTAGTTTCTTTAGCCCCCTCTCTCCTGGTGCACCATGCTGATCTGAATTCTGTAGCCTCAACATCAGCATCTTTGCCTTCTGGTCTGTTTTGTTCATTCAAATGCAGAGGTATCTACAAGGGGAATGACGTTAGAATCAGGATGCTTTAAAGCTTCTAGTCATAAACTGACTGCCAGACAGGTTAAGGCAGTTTACACACACCCTCTCCTATAGCCCAGAGTTATGTCAGTTTTACTGATGATGTGTACAATGCTATTTTATTTAATGTTTAACAGATTTTTTTAATGGCTTGGAAAATGTTAATGCTTTTTGTTTGAGCCCTGTGTAGCCCAGGCTGGCCTTGGACTCAATCCTCCTGCCTCAGGCACTGGAGTACTGCTGGGATTATAGGTGTGTCACCACACCCATTCAGTAGATGTTCAATTTGTTTTTGGCATTTTTTGCCATGTAAATATTTTTAGTGTATGCAGTTATCTCATTTCAGCCTTCTACCATTCAAAGTTTTCTTTCATTATAAACACTCCTGTAATACTCATTTCATTCCTTATACACAGTGCTCTCTCTAAGGAGCCTCCTCGGTGATGTGATCACTGGACACATGGAGATGCAGGCAGCTCTGTGTGCCCAGGACTCTGGGCTTGGTGCTGGGGAATTCTGTGAATGCTCTGCAGGGAGCATTGGTTTGTTTTCCTTAGTGACTAATCATGAGTCCTAATGCTTACAGAACTGCAAGTGTTGGGGACACACCAATCCTGTCTGTTTTTCCTCACTTTTCTGGAGGCAGGTCCCTCTTACAATCTGTGACAAGTCCTGGACTTTCTCCATGGAAAAGGTATACACAGAATTTCAGGGAAAACTCTCACATAGATTTACATAGGTTCATGTGTGGTGGTTTGAATGAGATTGCCCTCCGTAGGCTCATATATTTGAATGCTTAGTCAGCAAGGAGTGGCACTGTTTGAGAAGGATTAGGATTAGGTGTGGACTGGTTGAAGTAGGAATGACCTTGCGGAGGAAGTGTGTTGCTGAGGGTGGGCTTTGAGGTTTCAAAAGCCCATGCCAGGCTCAATGCCTCTTGCCTGCAACTTGCAGATCAGATGTAAGCTCTCAGCTCCTTCTTCAGCACTATGCCTGTCTGCATGCCACTGTGCTCCCTCATATGATGATAATGGACTAAACCCTCTGCACTGTAAACAAGCCACCAATTAAATGCTTTCTTTTATATAAGTTTCCTTAGTTATGGTGTCTCTTCAGATCAATAGAACAGTAACTAAGACAGAAGTTGGTACCAAGGACTAGGGTTTTGCCATGACAGGCCTGACTATGGTGTTCGTTGGAAGAATATGGAAGACTTTGGGACTTTGGACTAGAAATGCATTTGAACACTATGAAGTGATGCTCACTGAGCCATCCTAGCAGGAACATAAAAGAAAGTGGTGATGAGGGCACTATGAACTGTGGGGGCCCAGCTCAAGAGGATTCAGAGGAGAAAACAGCAGTTGGCCTAGAGAGCATTGTGATACCTTGACAAAGAATGTGGCTGCTTTTTGCCCTTGTCCAAAAAATCTTCCAGAGGCTAACTTGAGATTTGGATTGGCAGAGGAGATTTCAAGACATAGTATTGACTGTACCAAGTGGTTATGCAGATCTACAATGAAAAGGAACAAGTAGAGCAAAGAAAAATATAAAATGCACACTTTGAGGAGAAGAGCACCAGGATATATAATGATGGAGCCACATCCTGTGCTCAAGGAAATAAAAAGTTTAAAGAAAAGCCTGATGCTAAATGGAATTAAGGGAGTGGTGACCTCACGGCAAGACATCACTCTGCAAATCCTGCAACAATTCCTGTGCAAAGAATAAAGCTGATGGATTTCTCTGTGTAGAAACCACCAACCAAGCTGGGTGGTGGTGGAGCACACCTTTAATCTCAGCACTCTAGAGGCAGAGGCAGACGGATTTCTGAGTTCAAGGCCAGTCTGGTACAGAGTGAATTCTAAGACAGCCAGGATTACACAGAGAAACCCTGTCTCAAAAAAACCAAAGGGGTTAAAAAAAGAAACCCATCAACCAGTCAAGGCTTATGCAAATGCAAGTCTTAGAGGGGGCCAGGCTTCAGCCCAAATGCAAGAAGAACTTGACAGCTTTGGCCATGTAGTTCTGGATTTAGTCAAGAAGGAATCAGGAAGGAGTTATGGAAGGTTAAGGAAAATTGTTGAAGCCAGGCATTTGGCAGGGCAGTTCCTACATGGAGTTCCTGAGAGCCCATTGTATGAAGCTATGAATGTGAAGCCTGGGTTGCATTGTAGACCCCCAAGATGTTGGAGATGCCAGAGTTGTGGGATACCTCCCAAAGAAAGCTGCTTACAGGGAGTAGAACCAGCCTAAGAGAAAGAAGTGTCAACAAAGCTGAAAGGAGTGGAGATCTGGAGTGCTCTGACACCAGACAGGGAGATGCACATGGGTTCATTTCTAGAAGGCTATTACATGGGTTCATTTCTTGCTTTTTGCAGGAAATTTGTGTTTTTCAACATCCCTCAGATCCAGTATAAGAACCCTTGGGTGCAGATCATGCTGTTTAAGAACATGACGCCATCGCCCTTCCTGCGGTTCTATCTAGGTGAGTGAGGCATGGAAGATCACCTGCCCTTTTCCAGTCCTCTGTGAAGATAGCAGTTGAGCTATCTAAATAGCACTATGGCCCTTGGCTTCCCTTTCCAGGTACCCAATAGCTGCTGAGATCTGGATCCAGCTCCCTCACCTGTCTCTCTCCAGCTTATCTATCTCCTGTTCTCTGCCTATCATGTGGGTCAATCTACCCCCAGTCCTTTGTTGCTCTGTGCTGGTGTGTCTTCATTCTTTGTCCATCAGCTTAAAGAATGAAAGCAGATATCCTTGGCTGGGGATGTATGTCCATAGCTCCAGTGGTAGAGTGCACTACATTGCAGAACATCAAAACCAGATATTCTCCAAGCCTGGAGTTGGCCCTCAGGCACCTTAGTACCCCTCAGTGCTGACCACAGTCCCCTTTCTCGTCCCACCAGGTGTCTTGTGGGGGCCTGCTTGCTTGTCCTGATGCTGGGCACCAGCAGCCCATTCCTGGTTCATGGATAATGAGTAGAAAGTACCACAGGAACAAGGACCATTATGCATCTGTGTGTGCTGTACATATGGAGTGTTGCTGAGGGGCAGCTTGGAGCCAGGTGATGGGTAGTCAGAGTCCATGGGCAAAAAACTTTGCCCTGTGTGTGAAGGTGTTGTGTGTATGGGGGAGACAGCATACACAGGAAACCAGCAAGATGGTTGACTAGTCCTGTGGTGAAGGAAGGCAATCAGCCACAGGATTTTGTGTTCTTAGGGCCTCAGTGTGCTTTCTGGACAAGTATTGCAGCTTGAAGTCACACACAGTCCTGGATAAGTGATGAAGCCACTGCATGACAGGATGGGTCTGTAATGAGAGCCAGAATATGTCCCTTTCTACAGGGGCAGTAGGTTAGGACTTTGTTTCAGATAGATAGGATTATGTAGCCCAGCAAACTTGTGACAGTCCTCCTGGCTGAGCCTTTCAAATGCTGGGGTTAGATATGTCCACTATAAGCCTTCCTGCTTTGCCTCTGAATCTCATGTGGACAAGAATCTCTTGGGAAATTTCCTTTTCCATTTCTGGATGGTAGTGTCAGTGGGAGAAAGAACCCATCCCTGGCTAGGAGCTGTACTGGGATGTGGAGTTGCCCTCAAAACTCTGCCCATGATATAGCAAGGCCATCTGCTTGTTCTGGTAGTCCCTTTGCCAGCCATGTGCCCTGTGGGAAAGGCTGACTATACCACAGGGCTCTTTCTCTGTCCCTAGGAACCCTAGCCCAATGCAAGGAGGGCTGGGAGGAGCCTGGTACATTTTCTTTTGCAAATGTTGCCTTTGATAATCATCTTAGGGTAGAACCCAGGGTCTTTTAAGTGCTAAGCATGTGCTCTACCATGCAGCCATATCCCATCTATTTTATCCTTTCAGAGACAGGGTCTTGTTATATTGCCGAGCTGACGTCAAACTCCTGGGCTCCTGCTTCGGCTTCCTTAGTGCTAGGACTTCCAGCCTGGAGGACCCTAGCTTCTGTTGATTTGTTGCGGTGGCATATTTTCCATGATGTCAGTCTCAACTCATCCAGTCAGCTATTGATGAGCTCTGCATGAGGTTTAAAGCACTGAGACCTTGAAAAAGATTTGATAGCAGGGAAAGTGGCATGTGGGTGGGCATGTCTCTGTCTTGGTTACAGTACCTTGAGCTATAGAACACTTGGGAAGCAGACACCCCCTTATCTACCTTGAGCTGTACCCCCAGCTTTCCCATTTTCTTTCATTTCAGAATTGTAGTTTTTCATTTTCATATGAATTGTAGACTCATTTTGTTAAGCTTCCATAAAAACTGCATTGTAGAGATAGGCAGATGTCTGATTTAGAGGCTAGCCTGGTTTTCATAGTTTTAGGACAGCCAGGGCTACACAGAGAAACCCTGTTTGTTTCCTGTTTGGAAACAAACAAAAACTGCACTGTGTAGGGAGAGGGGACTACAGTGATCTATAGAGGAATTTGTCTGTTCATGTTTTTTGAAAATGGAAAGCAGGAGGGTGTCATCATTTATGCAGACGTTATTGGACTGGAATGATGGCTCAGCAAGTAAGAGCACTGACAATTAAGAGCAATTAAGGTGCTCTTCCAGAGGACCTGAGTCAGATGACTCACAGTTGCCTATAACTCCAGCTCTTGAGGGTCTGACACTCTCTTCTGGACTCCTCTCGTACCTGTACTTTCATGTATGGATGCACATACATACGTACATAATTTAAATTAAAAAATTGAATTCTACTGCAAAAAGCAAAATAGAGATCAAGCTGGTCTTGATTTGCTAATCATCCTACCTGATGAGGCTACAGGTTTGTCACACCTGGCAGTGCCAGCCTGTTGAGACTGAGAAGTATGCCTGAGTCAGCTCTTCTCCCCTTGTGCCTCTTGTTTACAGATTCTGGGGAGCAAGTGCTGGTAGACGTGGAGACCAAGAGTAATAAAGAGATCATGGAGCACATAAAGAAAATTTTGGGCAAGAAAGAGTGAGTTACTGGGTTGACCTGACAGGAGCAAACCTTAGCCCCAATAATGTGAGGGTGAGGGGGACGTACAGGGAGGGTGTGGAGAGGGAAGGTTCATCTAGTCCCAGTTACTACAACACCTTGGGTGGCAGGATCAGTTCAGGCCTGGTCTTTCTGCTTAGCAGATGTAAGCTGAAGTCCCTGAATCTTTTGTTCACTCCCTTGCTGTGATAGTGGACAAAGGTGGTCCCTGACCTGACATGCATGCAGCTAAAAGGAAGCTAAGATCCTGTTCCCAAATTTCTTTTTTGCTCCTTGAATGAGGAAGGACAGGAAGAAAGTGAAACCAAGAAAGTCTCTGAAGACCCAGGCTCCTTTGCCCTGCCCCTGTGGGATGCTTCCCAGTGCCTTTCCTCTCACATGGAAGAGGCTGCCTGTTGTCTGGTCATGCTTTGCTACTGTGTGTTCCTTGGCAGGGAGACCCTCAGGGAGGAGGAACTGGAGAAGCAGCGTCAATCTCATCCAGCCAACTTTGGCCCCCGGAAGTACTGCTTGCGGGAGTGCATGTGTGAAGTGGAAGGTCAGGTGCCCTGCCCTGGCCTGGTGCCCTTACCCAAGGAGATGACAGGGAAGTACAAAGCTGCTCTGAAAGCCAGCACTTAGGTCTGATGGAACTCTCTGAAATGGAAAAGCCTGTTTGCACACCCATTTAAAGGACATGGGGAGAAGGCCAGAGTTGTCAGCTGCTGAACAGATGTCAATAAAAGATTTAGTCTTCCTGTACATGGTAAGCCTGGTCTTGCTGTCAACAAAAACCATCTGTAGCAAAAAGCTTTGGGCTGAGGGTACAAGGCAGTTTGTCAATAACAGTTCTATGAGTGTCCCCTGGTTCTTGCATTTAGTCTCTTCCTCCAGTCCCCACTCTGGAAGTTCTTGAGGGCTACTTTTTCTGGTTGCCTGGAGCTGACAGAGTGGGTGTTCTTCCATGTAGGTTCTTTTGGACTTAACAGTACAAGGCCCAGTAATCCTTGCTTCCTAGGGAGTCCACATCTGTGGGTGGAGGGATCTTTCTGGCCTTGAGAGTGAAGATGCCACCTTGCCACGTAGGTGGTAATTCGTGGAGCCCAGCTGATTTGATTCTCAACCCTTGCTTACTAGATTGAAAAAGAGTATGTGTGTGACTTCTTACTAAGTGCCTTCCTAGTTATTTTCCCCGGCTGTCATTGCCATTTTAGCTATGCTAGCTCCATCCTTCAGTGAGCAACAGAGCCTTTCCAGGGTCATCTTAATGTTTACCACAGACCCCTTGGCATTTTGACATATAGGTATGAATTTATGGGGCATAGCAAAGCAGTGGTTGTTTAAAAATGGCCAAGGCCCTTCAGACACAACAGAGCAGGGCCATTGCCCTTCTCTACTCAGACCCAGGTCACTTCCACTCTCCAGGTCCTCACCTCAGCTCAGCTTCTGAGGTTGGCATGCTTAGATTTACAGAATCGTGCCTTTCCGCCCTCTGCTCTGGTTTGTGGTTTTGCAGCAGACCTATGTGTTCAGGTGGTTTGAAGGGCTGCAGTGAACAGGTGCTTGTGGATCTAATGTATAAGGGACAGGAGTGCTTGATTGTAGTCCTGACCTTGGCACCTGCCAAAGTTGTGACAAGGCTACAGGAACATATGGGCAGCTGCTAACTTCTACAAAACCACAGTTACTGATGGCCTGGACTTCTGTGATGAAACCAATGGCACTGGGGAAAAAAATCATCTCTTTAAATCTGTTTTTTCCCTATATAGGAATGACAGGTTTTTACACACATGAAACTTAACTGACCACACAAGGACTTGAGTTGACATGATGGTCCTCTGAAGTGATAGTTTTCATACTGAGATGTCACTGGCAGGTGTGAGCTCTGGCAGGATCTGATTCGGGCCTCTGAACCCTCAATTGTAAAGGCCAGAAGACCTAAGAGCAGTTCATTCTACTGAATCTGAGGACACAGTTTTTACTCCACAGCAAATACCTAGTATATGGGTCTGACGCCTGACTGCACACCTATATGTAAGGCCCACCATGGTCTGGAAATGGCTATGTAGGGTCCTTACCTCCATGCTGGATGGCCATGGAGAGTTTAGTCCAAGTTTTTCCACCAAAGTTCATTCCAACTGATGGAGGTCACCTTGGCCAAGGTTAAGGTGTTGATGGAAGGCAGAGAATGGGCTCAGGCCACACATTACTGTTTTGAGGAAAAAATCATGAACAGTACACATGCTAGTCTTTAATTTACTTTAATAGTATAAACCTCATGTAGGTAGTATTAAGCCACAACAACAAAGCCACATTGAACAGCATTTAGTAAAAGGCGCTCATAACCATGCACAGCAACTCTCTACACAGACACAACGATGCAGATTCTCCTTCAGGACTGAAGACATTGATTAGATAGAAAATTCAATTTAAAAAGAACATGCGGGTTTTAAATGCCATCACATAGCTCATTTACACAGGGAGAAAAGCTGTACAAAATGGCAGCTCTCCGCAGGTTTTAAACCTGGAATCAAAAGGTAATGGCATCCATGGTGTTTTCTATAGTGTGAAGGGCAAAAGTTATACAACCGGTCCCAAGAAAATTCCACACTGGACTTTTCTTTAAAAGGGGGAGGAGGGGAGGCAAATAACGCGCTGTATCTTAACAGAGAAATCCAAACTACAGGTACAAACTAGTTGGTACTATGAAAAATGTGCAGCTTTTCAGTTATAAAACTAGTTGAACACTGATTTACAAGTTAATTGGGAAAACAGACTAGAAAAATATTCCAGCACTTGAGTTGTGTGTGCATTGGCATCCGTGAATGAGCAGGCTGTTGGGATGACAACTGATGATGGTACTTTCCCAAAGAAAGGCCGTTTTTAATGTGCAGTCTATACCAAATGTTACCCAAACACTAAAACTTATCAGTGATATAATGTTGAGAATTTTCCCTACATTCCATGTATAAATACCAAAATTATTGAAAATTAACTGAAAGTGCATATTGCTGAGCATTAGAAATGTCTGATGTTCTCCTTCCTAAGCCACTTTTAAACTCTCTTAGGTTGCTGCCAAGACAATAGCCCCCAAAGAAAATGGAAGGATTCATTTAGAGACCGCCAAGCTTCCCTGTGTTTTACTTGGAAAGCCACTTTGAATAGTGTGATTGTCACAACAGGCAATGACACAGGCAAGATTGAACAACCACAAGGGGTGAGGCCAGGGATACAAGTGGGAAGCTGAAGCCAAATGACCCATGTCTCACCAAAGGCACTGAGGACTACAGTCTTAACAATTACTTCTTCAAACACAAAGAGCAACAACAACCCGTGGGTCAGGCAAGATCTTTGCACTTGGCTTCCTCCAAGCCAGGCGCTTGCACACTATGGCCACTAGCAGCTCTGCCAGGCTGGGCCCTGGCTCCCAAGTCCCATCTCAGCCTAAAATCCCAATCATAGGAGACAAATTTCATCAGAATAGACGTGGTAGATGAGGAGAATATGCCAGCCTTAGCTTTCTTACTATTAACTAAAACTTTTATAGAATGTAGTTAAGTCAGGATAACCCCTGACTTGCTTCTTAGTTAAAAGGTCAATTTACTATTTGTGGTTTATATGCTACAACTTAGCCATTGTTTTTAAAGAATGTTTGGTAGGCTGGTTATCTTTACCACCAGACAGTACCCAAGTCTTGCTGACAGAGCACAGGGTAAAGAAGGGAGACTGCTGCAGCCCCTTGGATACCAAGTGCCTCTCTCGGCTACCAAGTTCCTTTCAGTTAGGCTAAACTGATTTGTGAAAAGCAGGTTTATAGTTACCACTTAGTTTTGGATATTAGGCTAACATCTCTTCCACTAGCTTCTGGGCCCTTCTAAACGTAGAGAACTGCCCTCCTGTCAGGACCTTTCTGGCTTGAGGCTTCCTTGTGCAGGAGTGAGTGATACCTGGCCCTTTCCAGCAGCTCCTTGTCCCAGGAAAATGAAGTTGGTAAGAAATTCACCAGTACATCCCTGTCAAGGGAACCTTGCAATATCCACATCCATTCACATTAGCAACGCTAGCATCAACTCTTGACAACATAGAAGTTTGGATACGTGGCTACATGTCTGTATACATAATGTACATCTATATACACACATTATATACACTGTACAAAGATAATATGAACACATGTACATTCATTCAGTCATCTAGGCCTGTAACTCTGGACATGCACAGTGCGGCTGAAGGGACAGGATGTGCACAGGAAGTGCATACTGATGGGAGGCACTCAATGAGGAAGTCCAGAACCTTGAACAAAACACCTAGGCCAACCCCATCTCATTTTGGAGTTGGCTTTAGAAATTGACATCAGAGTTAAGACTTTTGCAAAGAGCCACATAATCTAGAGACTAGAAATTAGGCAAATAAAGAGGTGGGGCACCTGTTCTGCCAGTATGGGATGTTCCCAGGATCCACCCCCTGGAGAAAAGCAGCAGTCAGATGGTGCTTTTCGGCAGTACCAACAGCCCCACTGCACACCCAGCCACTGGAAAGCAGCAACAGGCTTCTAGACCCCACCTGACACTAGGTCCCAGAAGATAGATCCCTCTATCAGGGATGCTGATGAGGGTAAGTGCATGAGCAGGACTACCCTTCAAGAAACAAGTGTGTGTAGTATAGATGCTGCTGCTCTACTTGGGGTCACACTGGCCACCCTGGTTGATGTAGTGACTACCTCAGAATACTGTCCACATCTAATACTGACACTGACAAACTACAGAGTCATCCCAAGGGCATAAGTGACTCCATTTGAACTTCAATACAGAAACCCAGACAGCACAACCCCCACTGCTGCCTCAGGAAGAGACTAGCTGATAAATGAGCCCCTTCAACACACACTGCAAACTGGAAGGATGGTGACACACTGTATTGAACACTTTGAGGAGTAACTTGGGTGACTTGCTTAGGGAATTTGGTTTTTGTCTACATCTACTGGCCTGTTTTATACCACAATTCAACCTGAAACTATCTTAATATTACTTGAGAGTAGCCACGTCAGTGTGTGTCTATCTACCTACCTGAGAGAGGAGTATCTAGACGGGCCTGTCCTGTTTCATCAGACTTGGAGTTATCAACAGACTTGATCAGGTGGATAACCTTGAAAACTGGAGCCCAGATACTGACTGTGGTTTGGGCTCTCTCTTAAGAAATGACTGGGCTGACCTTCCTAGATCTAACTGACAAGATGGAATGGAGAAGCACTCAAAGTTTGAAATGATTTCAGTTGATGAGAACATTGTGTAGATACAAGTGTTAAGGGTAAGGCCACAAAGATCTGGACAACCAGTGAAGGAGTCTCGCCCAAAGTGGCCCTGTAAATTGGCCATTACCAATGACAGGATTTACAAAGGACCAGGCAGGTTTGAATTACCAACTTTTTTCCAAGCAAAATCTTTTCTTGCCCCCTCCAGTGCCATCTAGGTTGGCACTTCTTATCCAATGATGGTCTAAATAGCCTGATGGGAGATGCCCAGGCCCTATCTGAGTGGCCTAGAAATGACTGGCATGTTCACACTATAAAATCCTAAGAGAAGCAAAGCCAGCAACTCTAAGATGTACAGATGTACCGTAGGAACCCTCTAAAGAGATGCAATAGACGGTACTCATGTCCAGTCATTTTGTCTGAATTTTGAATATACACATAAAAAGAAAACTTTGGGCTGGCAAAATTAAGTCCTTTCCATCATTTTATACTGGCCATCCTTACTATTTCCAACACTGGCTTCAAAATCTAGCTGAGAATTTAGAAGCTAGAGATACTATCTGCACTTAAGTCCCACTAACTGAATAAAGTGTCATTAACTCCTCAGAAGAAAACAGCCTGTCTAGCCTTGAGCCCCATAGCTGTACCTGTCCACTAACAGGCACGAACTACCTTATAGGAGGTAATTTTTTTAATTTCTGCTAATCAAAAAGTAGATACCTAGCACCCGTCCCAACATTCCACTTTTTTTCCAGCTGCTGCAGACTTATAACCACGGGAATGCAGAGCTTTTGGTCAGGTCTAACTTCCTTGGAACTGAATTCTGCACTCTTGTTGGAAACTATGGTCATTATAACTATTTTTGCTTTTTCTTTTTGATTTGGGTACTGGGGATGGAACCCAGAACCTAGTGCATGCTAGGCAAGTGCTCTACCACTAAGTCACCACCCCACCCCACCCCACCCAGACCCCTTTAAAACTCAAAAGGAGTTTACTCATTAAGTTGCTCAGGTTGGCCCTGAATCTACAATCCTCTCACCTCAGCCTCCCAAGTGCTAAGGTTACAGGCCTGCACTATGTGCCCTGTCTGAGGATTGCTCTTGGATCCTCTTTTGAAAGAGAGGGTGGTTTGCTTCTATTATTTCAAACGTCCTGGAGAGCTTTGCTGGACTAGTACACACCTGGGAGAACTGAATAGTATGGGGCCCCAGTACACCGAAAACCACTAATACTTTTAAGATCAGAAAGAATTTATCTTGATGCCTTTTGTGCAGCTATCTAAGGCTCACTCACTCACCAGGCAGCAAGGATATATAGCTACCATTCAGCTGCAGGTTCTGAATGATCACAGATCCTGGCTCCTCTCCAGGCACGCCAGCAATGGAAAGCCTCACTGCCCCCAGACAGCATGAACAACTACAGGTCATACTCATGAAGTGTTGTCAAAGGGTACAGATCATCCACCTTGTACTTTCTGGTCAAAGGTAGAGGGAACTGGGCACACTTTTCAGTCACTGGAGGATTACTCTCATCACATGAACTCTGACAAGCTGCAATCTAATTCTGAAAATTAGTGAAGCCCAGGTTCCGGAAGAGTCTGCAGACACACATCTCTGGCTGGCACAGCAGCTCTCAGTGGGTCACAATGCCAGTTGTGTCACCTATATACAATGCCAGTAATCCACATTTCCCTCATGGGAATTTAGCTTAGCACCACCGTACAAAGATAGAAGTGATGCTCTCTTCTAAATATGAACGATTGTCTCCTGTACCCTAGTGAGTTTTCACAGAAATCATTAGCATTTTGACAAAAGGGACACACAGCTTTCCATTTGCCCTGTCCATGGGCAAGATGTTAACAATGCAGAGCTGATAAGAAGTGCTTAGAAAGTGCTAACATTACCTTGGTAATTAGTAGCTATTAATTCCAAGGACTCTTTTTTTTTTTTCTTTTTAAATGTATTTACATACTGTTCTTAGGTTCTTTTAATACTAGTCTCTGATATTATAAAACTTCAGCATTGTTTTTTGCCCTTTGAGAAATTCTAAATACAAATTGAATTAAAAGATTGTTCCAAAATCTGCTTCACCAAAAGGCATTAAAACATTTCCTAGGGCAGGGAAGCGTTCTACTGTCTTTAGTTGTTATTGTCTGGGATGAACAGGAGGAAGTGGTTAACACACCGGAGACACCTGCACACACCAAGACACTGCTATTTCCCTTCCCTTGCACCTACACAGTCCTAGGAGGCATCCCACTGTTGGCAGCTGCCAGCTGTGCACTATAGACTGGCTCCGGTGATCTGGCCATTATATTCTGCTGTCTCCATCTTGAGGATGTAGGGAATTATGCTGTCTATTGAAACATTGCCAATGAGACCAGTAAAAAAAAGTTCCTCTGTTATGTTGGAGCTCATGAGCCTGAGTGCTGGCAGGCGGACAAGGATCCTGGCCAATCTGGAAGAGAAGAGTAGGCATTAGAGAAATGGGGTGTCTGGCTGCCTGTGTTCCAGCCCAGGACAGCTCTTGGAGGTCCTTTTGGAACCACACAGAACTAAACCAAACAGACCTACATTGACCTGCCTCTTTTGTTGTTGAGATTAAAAACAAACAAACAAACAAACAAAAACCAAGTCTAACATGAAGAAGAAAAAGTACAAAAATGTATGTACAGGATTGGTGAGATGTCTCAGTGGATAAAGGCACTGGCTGCAGTGCCTGACAACCTGCGTTTCCTGAATTTCCATATGGTGGAAGGAAAACCAACTCCTACAAGTTGTCCCCGGCCCTCCACAGTGCACACATGCATGCCCACACACAACAAGTATGAAGTTCTTGTGCTGTTTAAAGCTATTCTTCCCACCTGTACACAAGTTGGAGATTCATCAATAGACAATAGGTTAACATATGGGATATTCCTATAATGAACTGCCACAAACTCATTAAAGGTGGTGATGTCTATCCGCAACCACAGCACTCAGGAAGCTAAGGCAAGAGAAGTCAAAGTTGGAGGAAGGCCAGCTTGTGCTATACAGTGAGACCTAACAATCTACAGTTACTGGTAAGCAAAGAGATCCATATTGCTCAGTGCATATTTAGAAGGAGCACAGCTGTATGTTGCATGCACATGTGTGTATAAAGGAAGCATTTGGAAGGATGCTTACCACATGCTTATGGTTGACTCCTCATGGCATGTTAGCCATGGGAAGGTAGGCAAAGCATGTCAGTAGCCAAGTGAAAAAAGGTTAAAACCCTTCTGGAATTTATGATCCCAATTACATATAAATTAAACACATTTTGAAAGTAGATATGTACATATTAATAGTAGGTATCCTTGGTTGATGAAATAATTCTTTCCCTCTTGCTTTCTAGAATGTTCCAAGTTTACTACAGTGCCTAAGTTGTTTATTAAAATTTTTTTAGATTTATGTGCATGAATGTTTTACTTTGTGCATAACATTGCATACATATATGCAAACATGTGCATATATGTTTGTGTATCACATGAATGCCAGGTGCCTGCAAAGTCAGAAGAGGATGTTTGATCCTTGGATACTGAGTTACAGACACATATAAGCCACCATGTGGGTTCTGGGAAGAACAGTAAGTGCTCTGTTGAGCCATCTTTCCAGCCCAGTGGTTCTCAACCTATGGGTCAAGACTCCTTTGGGGTGGGGGTTGAACAACCCTTCAACCGGGGTTGCCTAAGACCATCAAAAAACAAAGATAATTACAATTCATAACAGCAAAGATACAGTTATGAAATAGCAACAAATTTCGTTTTATTTTGTTTTTCAAGACAGGGTTTCTTTGTGTAGCTTTGGCTGTTCTGGAACTAGCTCTGTAGACCAGGCTGGCCTTAAACTCCCAGAGATCCGCTTGCCTCTCTGCCTCTATGGCTGGGGGTCACCACAACATGAGGAACTGTACTAAAAGGTCACAGCATTAGGAAGGTTGAAAACCACTGCACTAGCCCCTTGTTTTTAAAAAGGGGGTAGAGAGCTGGCAAGATGGCTCAGTGGGTAAAGGTGCAAGTTGCCAACCTTGATTTTGACCTGAATTTGATTTCCAGACCTGTAAGTTGTCCTTTTACTTCTAACACATGCCCCACAGAATGTGTGCATCAACATAGATACACAAAAAGGAAGTAGGTCCCATGCATGCCTTTAATCTCAGTACTTGGGAGGCAGAGGCAGGTGGATCTCTGTGAGTGTGAGGCCAGCCTGGTCTACATAGTGAGTTCCAGGTCAGCCAAGGCTGCACAGTGAGACCCTGTCATAAATTTTTTTCTTAAGATATATACTTTCTATAAGCATATTGCTGAGGTACTACCTACCCATTCATTCAGCCACCTTCAGTCTCTATGCTTCAATCCTGAGGGCAAAGGTATAAAGACACCACACAAGATCTAAGGAGCTATAAACAGATCAAGTGGTCCCAGGAAGTCAGCAAGTGAAATCAGGCTGGACTTCCTGGAGCTGGGCATCAGAAGCTGAATGCGGCAGCAAGCCAGGGTACTTCAGGAGAAACAATATGAAAAAAGGCCAAAAAATGGGAAAGCCTGAAAAGTGAGTTACAGGGACTGTGAGATGGCTCAGTAGGTAAGAGTATGCCAAAGAGCCTGACCATGTGTTCAAGCCCAGGATGAAGGGAGAAAACTTCAAAGGGTTGTCCTCTGACCTCCAATGAGGCACCTAGTTACATGTGCCCACACATTTATGTATTACAAACACACACACTCCTAGAAAGTATGCAAAAAGAATTACAACAGAATATGCTATATATACACTAAAGTCCTCCCCTGAGGAAAAGCCTAAGTGGGTTTCTGATTTCTGTAGGAAAGCTTTCCTCATTTTTGGCCCCGAATCCCATGGTCTCTTCATCTCTGTCCTCTTTCCCTGGTCTCTGACTGGGCCAGGAATGGCACACCTGCTTTCTAATGTTGCAGAATTTTAGTTTTAGAGTGAGGAGCTCTTCCTGAAGTCTCACAAGAACTATGGGAGCACTGTTGCCTCCTAAAAGAACAACCTCTTTGCACACAGGACCAGACTGGAATTGTGAGTATGGGTGCATACACAGACAATCTTATTCTCTATGTACTCTAGTCTTCAGTGGTCCCAGTAGAAGTTGGTTTGGGGAACTTGCATGTGGGCTAAGGAGATGTCTACAAAACTGTTTTGACTTTACACAGAAAAATCCACCAGAGCCACTGATACAACAGCACTTCCTTTGAGAAGCAAAGGGCAAGAAGAGGAAGTCCTGGTGGCTCAGGGAGCCCACAGTGGAATTCTGCACGGAGGATACAAGTCTGGGAAAAGCAGGCTGAATATCTTTCTGGATTGTTGCTTTGGTTTACTTTGGGAGGAAAGGGAGAGTTAGTAATTCTCACCCATATAAAAGGACTTTTCCCCCATCAGTTTTATCTAAGGGCAAATTGCCTTATGTAACTCACCCCTCTTTATAGGGGCCAGGTTTCATTTTTGTCAAGAACTCTAGTGCTGCCTCTCCCCATGGGTGCTGAGTAACTCTGTGAAGTGTGAGAACTGAGCCTCAAGGAGTTAGTTCCAGAAAAGCACTTCCTTTCTGGTTATCACCCGTAGTCTCAAACTTCCTGCCTAGCGTTCCCTTATAATTGCACATTCTTACCTCTATACCTGGAGATGTCAGTGATCAAATGGAGGCTCTGCCAGGTTGCTAGAATCTGACCCAGCCACACACCCCACCCCACCCCTGCCTTCCCCCTTCTGTGTTGGGCAGGGCCCTGTGCTTCACCTGTATGTGTCTTCTGAGTAGGTTTTCTGCACATAGTCCTGTAGCTCCATCTGTGCCTTCTCCTGAAATTTCTCAATCTGGTTTGTGCCTGTCAA